TAGCAAGAATAGGAGAGATGGAATGGAAATAAAGAATTAACAAGTAACAGGGAGGAAGTGAATAAAATGGAATACTTAGAGAAGAGACAGAGCACGTGCATTATGCGAATCTCCTGAAGAAAAGACTAGCCAGTGTAAGAGAGGAAGAAGTGAGAGGTAGCATAAGCATTTTGGTTTCTTCCATCTAGTAAGTGTGGTGCTACACTGGCAAGTATTTAGAATGAGAATTATAAAGATAAAAAATTCGAAGTTGTAGGAGAGGGGACGAGAGGAGCAAGGAAGGGAAGGTAGGCTATTGTAGTGAATTAGTGGATGTTGTCTAAAAGGTATTTAAAGTTATGGTTAAACTTCAGACTAGAACAAAAATACAAACCTTCCCAATGATCCGACCAAAGAAGGCAAAGCAAACAGATGTGTGGTGAAAGATTTTGGAAGAGCGATCAAAACAAGAAGCATAACATAAAATAATGCAGCAGAGCTAAGACCAAGTTTATCTGTCAGGTGAACAGGTGTAAACATCATCCAGGATGGGAAAAAGAATTTTAAGATTGATCGCAAAGCCAAACACAGCTGTATTACATAGGAGACATCAAAAACAAAGTGATCCAGGAGGGATGAACATAAAAATATGGAACAGAGGTATAGGTAGTCAGATTCAAAGAAAAATCTGGGATCACGGTCTCAATATGAGAAAAGACTAGATTCAGAGCAGAAAGGAATAAGTGAGCATGTTATGATGCTACACGGTACAACCCACCACGAAGATAAAGTTCTGAATCTTTACACCAAGTCGAACAGCACCAGTCCTCCCAAAGCAAGAAAACAAGTGGTACCAGGTGATAGAGATTTACAGTAGTGATGGGAGGTTAAACTCACCTCTCAGCTCATGACAGAGTAAAGGACAGAAATGAGGCTGGGCTAGAGGTGCCCAATTAAAATAATGAGTAAGGTACACCTAACATAGATGTTGGACTCCAAGCCCCAAAGACAGAGAATACACCTTCTTTTCAGGTGCCCGAAAGACCTTCATAAAACTGAGCATTCACAAAAACCTCAATGAATTCCCTGAAGTAGAAATAACATAGACAAGGATGATGGGGGAAAATGGGTAATGGCTGGTAGAGCAAAGGGACTGCCCCGCCTGAATAGATCCAATTCTGAGTGGACACTGGTCCACCACACTGCGGTACACCCGTGAGCGTCAGCCCTGAATGCAGACAGTGTGCTCTGAGCACGGAGTAATGAAATAGAAATCCATGACAAACCCAGAAAATAAAGAGCCATAACAACAACACAGCTCTTAACTCAGGTGAAAGAAGAATTCCAAACCAAACTGGAGATATGTAGGAGATAGTACAAACACTTCATAAGGATCTGGCGGGTGGTTGAAGGGCTAAGATGGAAGAGCTTAGTCATAAAGAAACACATTCATGTATTCTTCTTTCAGCTTTTGGATTGTCTTTCCTTGTCCCTGTAACCCTCTCCTGCTACTGCCATTCATTTCTTCTCAGTTAGGCGACCTCCGAGTGTCTTGAAAGAATGGATTTCTGTGGCACATTCCAGAGCCGTCTCAGCACAGAGGTGTCTCTAGCGCTCAGTCACGGTTCTCTCTATATAATTTTTTTCTCTTACTGTATGTCTATAGAAAGAGATTTATGATAAGGAATTGGTTTGTGCATAATGGAGGCTGAGAATCCCAAGATCTGTAACCAGCAAGCTGGGGACCCAGGAGAGCTGATGGAGTAAGTTCCAGTCTGAGTGTGAGTCCAAAGGCAGAGGAAGACTGACGTCCCAGCTTGAAGACAGTCTGAGAGCAAATTCTTCCTTATTCAGCCTTTTTGTTCTATTCAGTCCTTCAGTGGATTGGATGAGACCCACCCACACTGGGGAGGGCAATCTGCTTTACTCAGTCTACTAGCTCAGATACTAAACTCACCAGGAACGGTCTCACAAACACAACCAGAATAGTGTTCAACCAAATATTTTTTTTTTAAAGATTTTATTTGTTTATTTGAGAGAGAGAAAATGGGAGATAGAGAGCATGAGAGGCAGGAGGGTCAGAGGGAGAAGCAGACTCCCTGCTGAGCAGGGAGCCCAATGTGGGACTCGATCCTGGGACTCCAGGATCATGACCTGAGCCGAAGGCAGTTGCTTAACCAACTGAGCCACCCAGGCGCCCAGTGTTCAACCAAATATTTGGACACCCTGTGGCCCAGTCAAGTTGACACATAAAATTAATCATCATAGCTACTAAGAGACATAGAATTCCTGGGCAAATGGAAAAAAAAAAAGTGATTTTCGTTGGAAGCTTCAGTATTTAAAAGATGTCAGTTCTCCTTAAGTTTATTTATAAAATTAACATGATCCCAATAAAAATACAAACAGGATTTTTGGGAATTTGATAAGTGGATTCTAAATTTCATATGGCAGAATGCACAAGTTAGAATAGCCAGGAATATTCTGAAAAAGAAGCCCTACCTGGCACTACCATATGTGAATGAGCTCAGAGCTGCCTTTTAAGCTGCTGTTCTTAAGTTGCTCTTGTCCCTCAGTCTCACTACTTTTGCTCAGGTCTTTGACCGCACAGCATGTTCCTGCCACAGGACCCTTGCTCAGACTTTTGGCTATTTGAATGATGTGTGTTGCACCTGCTTCATTACCTCTTGCCTATTTAATACCTACTCAGTCATCACTTCTTTAGGGAAATCTTTCCTTCTCACGTCTCTGATGGTAAGTCACTTTCCTTTGTTTTCTCTTTTTTTTTCTTTCTTGCACACATTTCAGTTTGTAATTATGTAATCATTAGTGTGGTTGTCTGATAAATGTTCTTTTTGTTAGTAGGGTGTAACCTCAGTGCCTGACCTTGAGTAAGTTTTCAGTAAATATTTGTTGATGAATAATCTCCAGGCTGCTGGACTTTGAAGGGTGATTTAGACTCAGCAACTGTCTTCTAAACTCAGTAATCAGGAGTCTGCCTAATGTGGGCCCTGTCCCGGTATGCATTGCGATGAGATCTTAACATGCTTTTTCTCTCACCCATGCACATCTGAAGATGTAAATGATTTTTGGTAGTGTTCTGCTTTAGATTGTAACCTCCTAAAATGAAGGGCCGTATCTGAACTGTCTTGTGTGGCTTTTAATATTATGTCCAGTGGACAGTGCTTTTTCATAAGAAGGAGATAGAACATTATGGAATGATTACATCATTTCCTGAAAAAGGATGCTAGTCATTGAAAGAAATAATCATAGCTATTGAAGAACTTATTTTCCTAATGAATTTTATAAAATGATGTACCATACAGGAGTGCCTGGGAGGCTCAGTCAGTTAAGGTTCTGACTCTTGATTGCAGCTGAGGTCATGATCTCAAGGTCGTGAGATTGAGCCTCGAGTTGGGTTCTGTGCTCAGTGTGGAGTCTACTTGAGATTCTCTCCCTCTCCCTCTGTCCCTCCCCCTGCTTGCACTCTCTCTCTCAAATAAATAAATACACAAAATCTTTAAAAACATAAAATAAAATAAAATGATGTGCCATACACGCTCTACTTCATACCTCTCGTAAGTGACCAAAGTCCTTATGTGGCCTGTTTTAGGAAATCTAGCTGTGGTGGTTAGGGTGGGGAAGTCACTTCTGAATATAAAGTGAGGCTGAACAGGATGTGGTTCTCTTATTAGATGTAGCTAAACGTTTTATGCTTTCTCCCCAGGAGTACATACCTACCATCTTCTTGGATATGTTGTGATTGGCAAACATGAGTTGTTACTAGGTGCACTGAAGGTTTTGCTTGGCATTTTGTGTGTTGAAACGCACTAGTCATGACAACGCTTGTTATAAAGTTAAGGGCTTTGAGATGACTTTTGCATTCATGAACATTTCCAAACAGTAGTCTTTGGCAGTTCAGTAGCTGGGCAGCCATAAACCAGTTTTACTAGTGTGTCCCCTGAGGCCTCGTAGATAATTTCCAGGAAACCCTCCTTTATGTGACCTCTTTCATATTCCTTCAGAAATGAATGGCTTTCCTGTGTGTCTTTCACAAAGACCACAGGCCTTGCAAACTTCACAGAGGTAGGCATAGGTATCTGTCCAAGCTCAGGAATAATTCTCGAAAGAAGCTGGTCTCATGGTGTAAGTAACAGAACCAGAGCTTGCAGACTATGACCCACAGGCCAAACCCATCAAATCTGCTCTGCAGATGTGTTTATTTGGATCATAGTGTTTCTTTTTTTAAACACTGAAATTAGTTGCCAAGCTGAAAAAACTGGGAATTTTTACTTCAGAAAGTCTGGATATATGACTTGTCTTGAAAAATTGGAAAAACTTGGCCACACGGAGATCCACAGTTCTGCATTGGCTGCCATCCGTGGAACTGAGAGCTGTTGCCTGGCGGATGGGGGGAAGACTCCTCAGGCACCACCCCACTACCGTGGTCTCCCACATTCATCTGAGTCAACTTCATGGGTCATGACCCCAAGATAGGCTATGAGATTGAGAATAAATGGTATAGTGAATAATTAGGAAGGAGGCAGCCTTTTGCCTTCAACTCACACAATCTCTTTGGTAAACATATGATGCCCTTTATTCAAAATATGAGGTGAGTTGATCATTTTTGTAGTCTGGAAACAGAAGGACAATGAAAACTGCCTCTTTGCTGTGGACGTTGTCACATTGCGTCTCTTCTGATAGTTTTGTGGGGACTCTTATCATCGGTTCTGGTCAGAGGTCAAGTAGCATTTGAGTTGGGTGGAAGGAAGCTCTCTAAAGTGGCAAAGGCCAATCCTTAAATGCCATCTTGGGAGAGCACATCATTTGTTCCTGGGCTGCCTCCCACCTCCCTCAGAATTTTGAGAGTGAAATGATCTGGACGAGACACTGCCTGGGCAACATTTTCGAGACATTGGGACTACAAAGAATGCTCTGTGTTTAATCTTGCTCTGCACAGCTGCACAGAAAAAGATTGTTTAAAACTCTTCTTTATATTTTGTCTTTTGGGGGAACCCTGTCAGGAAATTTACGGCCATCCCTTGGAAGTCCCAGTCACTCGGGAGCAACTAAACCACTATCGGAATGTGGCCGAAAACACTCGAAGTGAACTGGCGGCAACTTTGGTCAAATTTGAATGTGCTCAGTCTGAGGTAAGAAGACTCTGCATCTTCGTGACTTCGAAATGGGCCATTTTATCTTCTAGAGTGAAGCAGAGTGTAGAGGTGATTAGAAATAGGACAGCTTTACACCTTTTGGCAAAGGTATTTATTCCTCTGGTTCATCTACTCCCCTTGTTGTAGAGAATTCTTGAAAGGTTATGCATTTGCCGTGGTTCAAAGCAAAGTGACGTTGGCTGGTTCCCAATGTCCGAGGAACTTCACAGCCTTGAGAGACCTGGAGGCACCTGATGACTTTGGTTGAAGCTGCCTTGGTGTTGGGGCATTTTTAGCATTTCCCTGAATGTGTACCTTTAACATGGTTTGCTTGCAATCTGGAGGTCTTAGAATGGAATGCTGGATCCCTTCCTACTGCTAGTTCTGATTGGCTGGGGGAAATTCTAGGATGATGATTAGGATCCATCTTCCCTCTGGGCTGGATCAGGTCTATTGTGGAGTTTCTGAGAGAGTCTCTCTAGAACCATTCTGCTCATAGCCTGGTGGCCCTGAGGGGTCCGGGGCTTGCTTGTGAGGTAACTAGCCCTTTCACTGGGCTGCCAGGAGTCCACTGAGATGATTTGATACCTTCTGTGTGTGTGTGTGTGTGTGTGTGTGTGTGTGTGTGTGTGTGAAAAGTTGTATGCATGTATACTCATAGTTCCAAAGAAGTACACGCATTCATAAAGTTTTCTTATAGGGTGGCTCTGACATCTTAATAGGGCGTATACGTTGTTCAGTATTTTGATGCCACAGAATTCATAAAAGTTAAAATGTTTCTTTTGTATAAAACCTATAAGGATTTTCCTTTTCTTCCATATTTTCCCCAGAAATTGGAATGTTATTTTTTTATTATTAATATTTTTTTATTGCCCACAATAAGGATCCTGAAGGCAAGTCGGAGAAATACACTGACATATCAAACAGTCTGTATCTACTTAGGAACCAGTTGTGGTCCTGAAATTACAAATATCTTAGCTTATAGGTTTCTTGTTTCATTGTCTGTCAGGAGCAATAGCAGCAATGCAGATTTAGAAAATGAGTTACCATTGAAAAATATCGCTTTTTGCAAAATACACCACAAATGTCTCTTGAGTGACACTAAATCACCCCGAGACATTGCTCAATTGGTTTTGAAAGAGACAGAATATAAAGTCCATTGTTTAGGCATATGTTCCCATCTGGTAATGTAGATACAAATATGAAAAAAAGAAAATAAAGTTGGATTAAGTCATGAACGAAAGAGTGAGATTTGAAATTATGGCTTTGGGTTTCTTAAAAGTACTTCACACTTAACACCACTGAAGTCTTTTCCTCCTTTTTATGGCTTTTCCATGTTAGCTTCGAGACCTCCGATCCAGGATGCTTTCGAAAGAAGCCTCCTGTCAAGAGTTGAAAGCTGAAATGGAGAATTACAAAGAAAATAATGCTAGAAAATCATCTCTCCTCACCTCCCTGAGAGACAGAGTTCAGGAGCTGGAAGAAGAATCAGCAGCACTTACCACTTCTAAAATTAGAACCGAAATCACAGCTCACGCTGCAATCAAGAGAATCAGGAGTTAAAGAAGAAAGTTGCAGAACTAGATGAGAACTTACAGTAAGGGTATTTCAATATATTTTGTAGTTGTTAGCATTAAAATAGTAGCTCCTGATAGCAGGATATGCCCTTGAAGGTACTGGCGTGTTGTTGCCTTATTTGGCCCTGGAACTCAATTTGAAAAAAAAAAATCTTGAAGCTCAAATATCTTTGGAGTCTTGAAACTTTTTCTCAAGCTTATTTCCAAATGTTACCAGGAATCGTAACAAACGAGGCATTGTCCTAAGCATGTTTATGTCTGATTGATTAGGGCTGCAAATGCTCATATACTGAATTTGGAAGATTTTCTGTAAGTAGAGGTTTAACCAGAGGCAGTGAAGTGGCACACAGAGGGAGGTGTTTATTCAAAAGCTGGCTATAAAACTACCCTGGAAGCCCAGACCACTCCAGACCACCCCGAACACTCCTCGTTAGCTTTTATTGCCCGTTTATGCGGAAAACTCACGAAACCTTAGTTTTCCACACTTAGTTCTGGCAAAAGGTAATTATTGAGACAAAACTGGGAACTAGTTGTTCCACAAATATACTTTTAAAATTCTGCATGTAATAAATAACTTTAATAATAAGATGCTTGATATTTATTTTACTTATTCCATCTTAAAAAAACAAGAAAACCCAACACCACCACTCCTGTCCTCTTTTTCTCCCCCCATTTACAGCAAAACTCCTTAAAATGTTTGTATAGACTCATTGTCTCCAGCTCTTCTTCACTCTTCTCTCTTGGGTCTCCTCCACTGAAACCACTCACTATGGTGACCCATGACCACACACTGCGGATTAAATGGTCAGTCTTTTTTTTTTTCTTAAAGATTTTATTCATTTATTTGACAGAGAGAGAGTTAGCTAGCGCAGGAACACAAGCAGGGGGAGTGGGAGAGGGAGAAGCAGGCTTCCCGCTGAGCAGGGAGCCCGATGCGGGGCTCGATCCCAGGACCCTGGGACCATGACCTGAGCCGAAGGCAGTCGCTTAACGACTGAGCCACCCAGGCGCCCTAAATGGTCATTCTTTGTCTCACTTGACTTACCAGTATGTCAGGCACAGTTGGTCTCTCTCCCTGAACCACCCGCTTCTTCTGGCTGCTAGGACACTCCCCATGCCAGCTTTGTATCTTTCATTTCTAGCTGCCCTGCCATAGTCTCTTTCGTTTTCCCCGTCTCATCTCGTTGACTTCCAAAGACTGGAGTGCCTGGGCACTCAGTCCTTGAATCTCTTCTGGTTTCTATCTAAATTCAGTCTTTCGGTGATCTCATGACTTTAAGTATGATCTAAATGCTAGTGATGCCCACAGTTCTTTGACTAGCCTGGATCTCTTCTCAGACCTCAAGAAAGACCCACATATTTTTACTACCTACGGGGCCTTAGCACGTGGATGTCCAGTGGGCATCTCACACTTAACATGGCCAAAACGGAGCTCCTGCTGTTCCCACAGAACCCTCCTGCTCCTTTCCTCACCTCTAGTGATAATTCCATTCCTCTAGTCCATCAGGTCAACAACCTTGGTCATCATCCTTGGTCCTCTTGCTCTTTCACACTCTGTGTCTGATCCTTCAACAAGTCCCCTCATCTCTACTTGCAGAATAAATCTACATTTTGACTACTTCCCACTGTTGCTCTCATTGCCACTAACCTGATTCCCGGGACTACCATCTCTCTCCGGGATGTTTGCAATAGCCTCCGAAGTGATTTTCCTGCTGCTGCCTGTGACCCTCGCAGCCAGAGTGATCCTGTAAAAACACAATAGATCTCTTTGGTCCTCTGCTCAGAGGCCTGCAGTGACTTCTCTTCTCTCTCAGCGTAAAGACAAAGGATATTCTATGACCTAGAAGGCTCATCCTGACCTGGTTTTGCTTCTGTTCTCTTTCCATTCTTTTCATTTCAGCTCACTGGCTTCTTTGCTGTCCTTTGAACGTAACAGGTGTGTTCCTACCTCAGGACTTTTGCACTTGCTACTCCCTTGGCCTGGAAAGCTCTTCCCCCAGATACGGCACGGCTGCCCCTCTGCTCCCTTTAGGTCTTCACTCAGAAGTCACTTTCTCAGGTCTTCCATGAGTGACTACTCTAAAATTTTATTCTGCTCCCCTGCCAAATATTTCTTCTTCCCTTTCCTGCTTAATTTTTTTCTCTCCAGCTTTTTTGTTTTTTTATAACAGTATACATTTCAAATACATTGATTTTGATTACTGTCCATCTTCCTGACTAGAACGTAAGCTCCGTGAGGGCAAGGATGTTCATCTCTTTTGTTCACTACTGTATCTTTAGTACCTTTGATTGGGCTTGGTGCATAGTGAGTATCCAGTAAATATTTACTAAATAAATGAATAATACAAGTGATATGTACTAATTGTAAAAAAATTTTTTTAAGATATAGAAAATTGCCAAAAATATTAAAGTTATTCAAGACCTTATGATTCCTGAAAAGCTATACTTCAAATTTTGGTGAACAGGGTTTTCAGGTAGTTGACATCATATAATGAACTATGTTTTTTACTGAATAATATGTTGTAGACATATATTTCTTAAGATTTTATTTATTGATTGATCTGGAGCCAGGGGGAAGGGCAGAGGGAGAGAGAGAGAGAATCTCAAGCAGGCTCTGTGCTGAGCATGGAGCCCAACATGGGGCTCGATTCATGACCCTGAGATCATGACCTGAGCCCAAATCAAGAGTTGGGCACTTAACCAGCTGAGCCACCCAGGCACCCCTATGTTGTACATATTTTAAAAAGTCATTCATTGTATCATCTTTAATAGCCCATGGTACCCATTCCCTGACATATCATAATTTACTTACCAGTTCTTTTTGTTATTTCTTGCAGACACTCAGGTTAGTTTCACTCAAAGAATTATTATAAACCAAGTGTATTCATGTGTATTCATATTTTCACATTTATGTGATTATGTCCTTAGGGTAGATTCCTAGGACTTTGTTGGGTCCAAGTGAAATGCAAATAGAAGTGGGAACAGTTCAGCCACACTTGGGATGGAGAAGCAAGATTGAAGCCTTGGACTGAATGGGTGGATTCATACACATAAATCAATCCATCCACATCATAGCATTAGCTGTGCTTTTTGTGAGCCAGAGAGACTGAATAAATTTTACCTTTTATATGCTGAAAATAAGAACTTAGAGATATATTGATGTTGGTCTTTTATTGTTATGCATTTTTCTAAATAGAAATATGATATGCTTTTGAGTGTATGCAATTACATGCTTTGTTAATCTTTGAATAGAATGAAAGAATTTGCAGTAAACACTCAACATGGTAAAAAGGGAAAGCAATAATCATGTTTATTATCTAGGGTACTGAAAAAATGATACCAAATTACTGAAATGATTCTAATTTGCCTTTAAAGTATGTCTGCCTTTGATGATCTCTTAGTCTCTAACATTTAAAGCATTAGAAATAGACCGTGCTATTTCAGCAAACCTATCTGAGATTTGAAATGAAACGTTCATAGTAGAGCATAATCAACTGATTTTCCTTGACTGGCCCATCTCAATACTCTTTAAACACTCTGGATGTATGAAAACTAATAATGGTCTTTGCTGGTGATTGAACATCTCTCTCTTCTAGAGGGGGAACATCCACTGCTCCTGATATATTTTTTATTATAGTTATGCTTGGCCATGACCCAGGGTATGCCCTAAGTAACCCTTATATAGATCACTGCATAGTGTCTGAAAATAAAGCAAAGGATGATATGCTAGAAGAAATATAGCAGTACTGTCCTTCTTCTTCATGAGGACCCAACAGAGACCCATGACTATATACATCCATTGTGATCTAGAGATTTCCTGCCACTTCTGCAGATCCTAAATGGTCAAGGACAAGAGTCAGAGAGTCTGTCTCCTTTGCTGTTACTAGATCTAAGATGCCATGAAGATTTTTGTACATTTCTGCTAAGTGTAGGTGCCTGGCTTTGACTTTTCTCCTTCCTGTACAGGGCTCACATGACAGTGATGTGCTCTGTGTCCAGGAAACTGTGTTGTGATGAAAGTGATGATTGGATCAGAGAGCTGAAGTTCTGAACTTTGTTTGACGAATGATCTCTTCTATAGTGTTACAACTTGACGTATGTGTTATTTGCCCTATAGAAAGTGTTTAAAGGAAAATGAGGAGAATAAGAATCAAGTCTCGAAGAATTGCAGGAAACATGAGGAATTTCTAGCTCAACTTGGTGACTGCTTAGATCCAGAGAAGAAGAATGAAAAGGCATCAGATGAAGATTTAATTCTAAAGGTGTATGCACATGAAAAAGACAATAAATGTAGTGGTCATTCTGACATATGCCGTGAACGGAAGTGCTGTGTTTGAGTCTGGGGGTGGCAGAAGAATGGGACAGTAGCCCAAGTATAGCATTAATTGACTGTGTGATCTGGGACAAACCTTTTCACCTCTCTGAGCTCTGTTCCAAAATCCTTTCCAACATTATTTGGGATTAATTACTCTCCAGAAAAGATTAATTGTTTTGTCTAAAATATATTTAGGTTGCCAAATACAGTTAATTATTCATCTTAACAATGTGTTTTAGGGAGTTTTTTTGTTTTAGTTACAGACAGAAGCATACACACATGCAACCCAAACCAAAACCAGCTGTGTCATTTTTCGGATACTTACTGAGTATAAGGTTAAGATTAGTTCTAAAGTGCTTTTTAATTTTCCATTGAAATCAAATAATAAAAACGTTGCCAGTAAGGTGGAAATTAGTCGTATCAGTGAATAATTCACTTGGCACATAGTGATTCATTAGGGCACCTGACAATGTTGGAGGTCCCACCCTGTCTTTGCTTATTTCACACCTTTCATATCCTTGCTTCCTGACAGATCTCCTTGCAGCCAATCTTTTTTATTAAAATTGAGGCGTAATTGACATGCAACGTTATATTAGTTTCAGGGGTACAGCATAATGATTCAACACTTCTGTACACTGTGAAATGATCACCATAGTAAGTCTGGTCACCATCTGTCACCATGAAAGGTTACAAAAAACTTATTTTTTTCTCGGGAGGAGAACTTTCAAGATGTACTTTCCTGGCAACTTTCAAATATGTGTACTAGGATACTGTTGACTGTAGTCACTATGCTGCACACCGCATCTCCATCACCTATTCATTTCACAGCTGGACGTCTGTACCCCCCAACCCCTTCCCCACTGGCAACAACCACTCTGTTATTCTTATTCATGAGCTTGTGTTTTGTTTTGTTTGCTCATTTGTTTTTTAGATTCCACATATAAGTGAAAGCATAGAGTATTTGTCTTTCTCTTGACTAAGTTCACTTAGCATAATACTCTCAAAGTCCATCCATGTTGTCAGAAATGGCAAAGTTTCATTCTCTTATTTTTTTTAAGAGAGTGCAAGTGGTGGGGGAGGGGCAGAGAGAGAGGGGGAGAGAGAGAATTTTAAGCAGGTTCCACACCCAGCACGGAGGCCAGCGTGGGGCTCTATCTCACGGTTCAGACAGAGATCATGACCTGAGCCAAAATCAAAAGCTGGACCCTTAATGGACTGAGTCACCCAGGCGCCCCGCATATATCTTTCCTAAATAGTGTTTTTATTTTCTTGGGATAGATACTCAGAAGTGGAATTGCTGGATCATATGGTAATTCTATTTTTAATTTTTTGAGGAGCCTCCATACTGTTTTCCACAGTGGCTGTACCAGTTTACATTTCCACCCACAGTGCACAAGCTTTCCTCTTTCTCCACATCCTCTCCAACAGTTACTTTTTATCTTTTTGGTATTAACCATTCGGATGGATGTAAACTGAAACCTCATGTGGTTTTGATTTGTATTTCCTGGATGATGAATGATGTTGAACATCTTTTCATGTGTCTGCCATCTGTATGTCATCTTTGGAAAAATGGCTATTCAGGTCCTCTGCCCATTTTTTTTTTAAAGATTTTATTATTTATTAGAGAGAGAGAAAGAGAGAGCGAGCCTGTGCACACACATGAGCAGCGGGGAGAGGCAGATGGAGAGGGAGAGGCAGACTCCACTGAGCAGGGAGCTGGACGTGGGGCTCCATCCCAGGACCCTGAGATCATGACCCAAGCCGAAGACAGACGTTTAACTAACTGAGTCACCCAGGCATCCCTGCCCATTTTTTTAATTGGATTTTTTTCCTATAGGCATTCTCTATATATTTTGGATATTAACCTCTTGTCAGGTATATGATTTGCAAATATTTTCTTCCCATTCAGTAGGTTGCCTTTTCATCTTGTTGATGGTTTTCTTGTCATGTAGAAGCTTTTCAGTGTGGTATAGTCTCACTTGTTTATTTTTGTTTTGCCTTTGCTTTTGGAGTCAGATAAAAAAAAAAAAAAATTGCCAAGACTGATGTCATTGAGTTTACTTTCTGTGTTTTTTCCCAGGAATTTTATGGTTTCAGGTCTTATATTCAACTCTTTAATCCATTTTGAGTTCATTTTTGTGTGTGCTATAAGATAGTAGTCTAGTTTTATTCTTTTGCATGTGGCTGTCCAGTTTTCTCAACATCACCTATTAAAGAGACTGTCCTTTCCATATTGTATATTTGTGCCTCCTTTGTTGTAAATTAATTGACCACATGTGTGTGGGTTTATTTCTGGTCTCTCTATTCCATTCTGTTGATCTCTTGTCTGCTTTTATGTTGTTACCATACTGTTTTGATGATGATACCTCTGTAATATTGTTTGGAATCAGGGAACAGGATGCCTCCAGTTTTGTTCTTTCTCAAGATTGTTACGTCCATTGAGGCTCTTTTGTGGTTCCATACAGACATTATCACTGTTCTGTGTCTCTGCAAGATGCCATTGGGATTGATAGGATTGCGTTGAATCTATAGATTGCTTTGAGCAATACAGACTTTCTAACAGTATCAACTCTTCCAGTCCATGAGCACAGAGTATCTTTCCATTTATTTGTGTCTCCTTCAGTTTCTTTCATTAATCCATGCAGCCAGTCTTAAAGGCCCCATCTCGGAGTTTTATTAGTAAGCTTCCCAACTGTACTTCCAGAAAACTACAAAATCATTTCCGTTAACTTGAGGATGTGTTGCACTTGGCTGATGGGTTTTGATAGCTGAGGACTGACAGCCTTGAGGGTGCTGGATGCATCTCCTCTTCCCTGTTGCACACCTGTGACCGGGAGCCTGGCTGTGAAAGTCCACAGTGCAGTGCAGTTTGGGAGACTGTTTTTAAAGCCACGTGATGGGGAGAAGAAAAGAGAACGAAGAACCTTCTTCTTTCATGACACCCTTTCCCCCGTCAGAGACTAGCTCCAGGTGCTAATCTGGGAGTTGATACTGTATTAATTATGCCTCATTGTCTTCTGTATTTCCAATGCTTTGACATCTGGGGCCTTGCTGACCCAGGAGAGACTGACTGAGAGGGTTAGCCAGTTCCTCGTCAATGATCCTCCTGGGAGCCCGGCTTTCATATGCAAACCAGCCGCTCCCACATCCCCAGCCAGTTTCTATATCAGGCTCTGGGCCGGTTTCTGTATCAGGCTCTGGGCTGCTGTCCGCCTTCCGCCTTCCCTGATCACCACAGGGCTAGGTACCCGACAGCTAGGGACAGCCCTTACACTCCTCAGAGTACTAACTAGCTAGTCCCGAACCTGCTCACCTCGCCTTGCTCACTCCCTCCTGTGCAAACCACAACAAAGACTCTTGCCTCTGTTTTCCTTTGCTGTCCTGTCTCCTGACTGACCCATGCTTCGCTGCGCGGCCTTGTACGGCAGGGCGTGCCCCCCCACTTCTGGAAAACTGTGAGTAACAAACTGTTTTTCAAGGGCAGCTCTCTCCAGATCTGTTCACCGCACCATACGTGAATCACAAAAGAAACTATATTTTAAAACAGATACTGGAATTCTAGGGCTTTAGCATCTCAAAAAAAAAAAAAAATCACTGGCCAAGAGCAGAAAGATTGCTATCTTATCAACACTCATCCAGGTGTTCCCCCGAGGAGTGGAATAAAACCACTCCTTCAATTTCAAAACCATTTCCTCCCTTTTAGAGCTCTTCCAACCCCATGTGCCCCCCCCCAAGAAACCAAAGAGGCGTTCCTAAGGACTTAGTTTGACATCCATTTCACAGATATTTAGTGAGTGACTACTATATGCTAGACACGATTCTGGGTGCTGGTGGTGCCGCAGTGAATGAGATAAGACTAAATCTGTGCTCTCCTAGAAGTTTCGTTATTGTGAGATAATGAGGACAAAACAAATATCCAATATTATCCCACCTAGTAAATGGGGTTGTGGGGATAGAGAGTGAGGCAGGGTGGAGGCGTGGCAGGCTAGTTTAGGCAGATTGGCCGAGGATTGCCCCTCTGAGGTGGGGACTTTTTTTTTTTAAGTTCACTTAATTAACATATAATGTATTATTAGTTTCAGAGGTGGAGGTCAGTGATTCATCAGTCTTATATAACACCCAGTGCTCATTACATCACGTGCCCTCCTTAATGCCCATCCCCCAGTTACCCCATCCCCTCACCCCCCTCCCCTCCAGCGACCCTGTTTGTTTCCTATGATTAAGAGTCTCCTATGGTTTATCGCCTCTCTGATTTCGTCTTGTTTTATTTTTCCCTCCCTTCCCCTAAGATACTCTGGTTTGCTTCTTAAATTCCATATATCAGTGAGATCATATGATACTTGTCTTTCTCTGATTGGCTTATTTCCCTTAGCATAATACCCTCTAGTTCCATCCTTGTTGTTGCAAATGGCAAGATTTCATTTTTTTGGTGGCTCAGTAATATTCCGTTGTATATATATACACCACATCTTCTTTATCCATTCATCTGTCGATGGACATCTGGGCTCTTTCCATAGTTTGCCTATTGTGGACATTGCTGCTATAAACATTGGGGTGCAGGTGACCCTTTGGATCACTCCATTTGTATCTTTGGGGTAAATCCCCAGGAGTGCAATTGCTGGGTCGTAGGGTAGCTCTATTTTCAATTCGCTGAGGAGCCTCCATACTGTTTTTCAGAATGGCTGCACCAGCTTGCATTCTGAGGTGGGGACTTTTGAAAGATGTTGGGGACTGAGCATACACATATGCGGAAATGTGTTCAGGAGAGTGGGAATAGCCCTGAGTTGGGAGCAGGGCGCCATGTTGGCCGGGTGCTGAGGCTGGCCACTTCCCCAGATACTGACTCTGTAATGTGGGGTCTCATCTCTTCCTGTAGGCGTCCTCACGGCCCTCCAGGAGGACCTCCAGGCTGAGCTGTCTGCAGGGCTGGTTCCCTGGGCCAATAAGCCTGTCTGATTTCATTTTCCCTCCTTGTAAATCTTACAGATCTTACTCCTGCTTTCAGCTGACAACCCAAATGCACAACATGGAGAGTGAAAAGCTCTGCTAATCCCAATGATAGCCACTGTTTGAGCATGTTATTCAGGATTTTTCTATGCTTATATTAATTAGAAGGATTTTCTTTTTAAGAAGAGAGTCCCGCTTTCTTCTGTGTGTTTCCCCCTGTGCCAGGTAGCGCCTTGCATGCAGTTGGCGCCAGTGGACGTGGGCAGAATAGAAGTCCCTTGCTGCCTCCCCTGCTGTAATCTCTGTAGAACATCACCTTTCCTTGATTATTTAAGCCAGGGGCTTGCTGACGCTTGCTCTGTCGGGAAGCTTTTGGCAAGACTCTCAGCAGTGTTGCCTGGAGCTATCTTTTGATTAATTTTAATTTGATCACTGGGTCTGTGCATAACAATAGTTTAGAGGCTGCTTTTGAAAATGTGTTCTTTTGAGTGGATGGAGGGATAGTGCTTTCACTGGTTTCATGTGATCATGCAGTCAGCAGGGTACATAGATCAGAGTTGCTTAGAGGAAGCCGTGTGAAATTGCTAATTTTTATAGGATTGCTAATATTATAGTAATTGCTTTCTCTGCAGCTTAGATAGCTTTGCGAGGAAGATGCATTCGTGAAAGGACAGATTGTTACTCTTGAAGAGACTATAAATGTCCATGAGATGGAAGCAAAAGCTAGCAGAGAAACCATCACGAGGCTGGTTTCAGAAGTAAACAGCAGAAAAAAGCTGCCTCCTGCACCGAGGAGAAAGACAAGCTGAACCAGGTACAGTATGTGAAGTGTGCATGTGCACCTGCGATCATGTTTATGAAGCAGAAATTGAAAACCAGATGTGGGTGAGCACACTGGCGTTACTGACCACAGTTTCAAAAGGCTGCTGTCAGCAGGAGGGCTGGCGGCAGCATGGGACGTGGTGACCCGAGCAGGCCATTGGGTACATAGTTTTTTCCTAATTAGAAAAAAAAAAAGACACACAACACATTTAAAAGTAGAGTTTGTAGAGAATTTTGTCCTGCTTTAGTTAGGCTCTAAGGATTTTTGAAACTCAAACATTAACTTTTTTTGAAAAGTAGGTAATGCATCCACCAGATACAAAATTCCAAATAGACATAAGGGTATATGGTGAAAATCGTCCCCACCCCCCACCTCTCCCGCCAGCCACCCAGTTGTTCTCCTCAGAGGCAATCTCTGTTAACAATTATTTTTTTTTATATACCTTTCTAGAAATGTTCTTTGATGTGTATACTTATTCTTTTTCTTTTTTTAATTTTAATACAAATAGCAACATGCTCTGCATTATATTTTTCCCTTCATTTATTTTTTAACACAAAATGGTAATATACCACACACTATTATAAGCAAGGCTGCTATGAATAATCTTATATTTTTTGGCATGCATGAGAATGTATCAGTAAGACAAAAACCCTAGAAGTATACTTGCAGGGTCGAAGGAGATGAGTGTTACTTAGAAGAGTTCCTCAATGCTAGACCGTTATTTGTACAATGAATTGCTTGATCTTTTCAAATTACCCCAAGCCCTGTTTGAGCATGCCAATTAATACTGTATGTTTTTTAACACTATATAATCTTTCAATTAAATTTTTATATTTTTGTGACAAAGAAACTAATTATGGGATTAATAATAATGGTGAATTTTCAAAAGCAAAAGTGAGCCAATGCAATCAGTTAACAAAGTATGTAAGAGACAATTAAGTGGTAAAGGAGATGTAGTTCAAAATTAGGAAATGACTGGACTGGATTCAGGTTAAATGATTTTGGCAAGGGCACTTCAAAGGTTAAGTTGTAGACTTCATGTTATAGGCAAGTCATGCTAGATTGTTCCTTGTTGCTGACACTAAGTTTGCCCATCTCTTTAGCATAAAGGGACATTTTTTTTTTCTTCTGCAGTTAAATAAGGTATCTCTGGGCATATTATTTCTGATAACTGGCAGATTATTTCTGTTCCCCATTGACTTTACTGAGTGGTGTTATCATCATTGATTCTTGTCTGGATTAATTTACATCATGGGTGGCAAAAAGGTAATATTCTAATTTTACCATTCCTTCTGCTTATTAGCTGGCATTCTTCTGTAAAGAAAAGCTTATTTCTTTTCTTTTCAGTTCTATGGACACATGGATTTTTATTTACTCACTATGTTACCATCAATACTTTTTTTTTTTTTTTGGTGCTCCAAATTCACTATATTGGCTTAGTAGCAGCCCCTTCAAGATGGTCTCTGTGACCTTGTAAACTGACTCTAGTCTTTTAACAGTTCCTTGCTTTTTCAGACAGAAGTCATGCCCTCTTAGGATCACTTAGACTTTTCAGACTACAGAACTAAAATCAGCCTGTATTGTAGGGAGCGTTGGTGCCTTTTCTTGGAGAATGGTGCTTAAAACCAAGATTTAGGCTCTTGGTGTGCTCATTGCTATTGGGCTGTCATTTCTTTAGGTGGCCAGAGCTAGAAATACATTTTTAGTCATAAACTAATACTGGTATTTTTTAATTAAAAGCGATATTTAGAGTTTTCCTAGTATCTTTGTGTTTTATATTAGTATTGTTCGAATCTTAATCATAATATCTACTCATTTGCTTTGTCTTACAATATACATAAAATTATTTCAAAATTACGCTTTTAATATCTTACCTACCAGTGAGCCTTCTAAGTGAAGTTTTAGGCTCTCAGATTTTTTACATTAATACTGTCACCAATCATTAGTATAATAGTCACCATTTATCGATCACTTACCATTAGCACAGTCATTGTGCTAAGTGTACTTTGCTCAAGTTCACATAGCTCGTAAGTGGCAAAGCTGGGATTTGAACCCTGGTCATTACGTTATTTTGCTGTCATCAGTAATCCCTTTCCATGTATAGTCAGCTATACCCTACATATCTGTCTGATGCCATCTTGTCAGTAGGACAAGAACAGTAAGTAGCTATGCAAATTTCCTCAGTGAATGAATAACTTGAATTTGATTACAAATAGTAGTTATTAAAGTATCAAGCCTTGAAAATTAGGCATTATTTAATATTTACCTATAAGAAAGCATTTCTGAAGATAAGCAGTAGGAAATGAAAATGTGTTATAAGAGCACATTAAAAAAAAACGGAACTTATTTCTTATATGTATCTTTACTTGTAAATGATGCAATGTTGTTCAGACTTGGAAACACATTCATTTTGGGATGAAGTTCCTGCCAAAATAATAAAAATTGTAAAAAAAAATGGGCAATAAAAAACTTGAGGTCTTTTTAAAGTGCTCATTCATAGGATTATGACTTCAAAGATTGACTACCGAAAAATACTGTCAAGTGGTTTTACTGACATTAATGGCCTCAGGAAGAGTCATCATAATGCTTTCTAAAGCTCTGTTTTTGTGGTAGGAAACTTACTTTATTAGTGAAGCCCAGAATGACTGCAGAAGTAGTAGTATTTGCACGCTGGGGTCCTGTTTCTACAAAACACAACTTTTCTCATTTTCTTAATTACTCTACTTACTTTATGACTTTTACTTTATGAAAATTTTCCAAATAAAAATCCAGGTGATTTATTATATATATGGTAAATATATTATTTGAAAATCTTAAGTAGTTAATATTGAAGTATGTTTTAACAACTATCAAAGATTGGCACTTTTTCTTTCATTTATTTTGAAATAATCCAGTGTTGAAAAGAGTAGGCACTTTCCCTAAAACAAGCCACACACGCATTTCCTATAGGCCATACAAGTTCAGATCAGCAGATCAGAAACTAAACTTACTTATGGGATTTCAGACAGCTTCTTTTCCTTCATGCTGTTCACATTACCTTTAATTCTCGTAGCTAAGAAAGAATATTGGTAGGTCTGGTTTGGAAGGATGTCCCTTCTGCTTGTTTGGTTTTTTACCATGAAGTAGCGAATGGAAGAGAGAACAGCCTGAGACAGTTCACAGGGAATGGAGTGGTTAAGAGGCTAGGCTCTCAGGTTTTTATCTGGGCTCCAGAGTCATTTGGCTATGTGATCTGAGGCATATGATCTTATCTCTTGGAACCTCAGTTTCTTGTCTGTAAAATAGAAAAATAATTTAAGGATCCATCTCTTAAAATTATTCTTAGCACTGGATGACATAATATACATGAAGTACTCAGGACATGCCCATCACATAATTGATGCTCAGTGTTTTTATTTCCTTTTCCTAATTATTTACATTTACCCAGGGATCCAAAGAAACAAATTTATTTTAAGGGTATAGGCATATGGAAATAAGTTCCTGGAAGTGAGGATTTATTAGACAGGATAAATTACTAAAGAAATTGAAGGTCTCTACAATCCTGGAATCATGATGTTGGAAGTGACCTTAAGGTCTTTTAGAATCTAGATCATGTAACCCTCTATGTGAAATCAGAATCATCTTTAAAATGTCACTGTCTAGCTAGTTTCACTTGAACTCTTCCATAGACAGGGAACCCACTACTGAGCAAGGAGGTCCATATTCTCTATATAGTTTTTTTTTAAAAAATTTATTTGAGAGAGAGAGAGAGAGAGAACAGGTGGGAGGGCAGAGGGAGAGGGAGAGAGAATTCCAGGCCAACTCTGCACTGAGTGCAGAGCCCAAACGCAGGGCTTGATCCCACAACCATGAGATCACGACCTGAGCCAAAATCAAGAGTCAGCCGGTCAACCGACTGCACCACCCAGCGCCCCTCTCTGTATGGTTCTAATTGTTTGACAATTCTTCATTATAGCAAGTCAGAATCAGGATCCCCATAATGTACATCCTCATCTTGGTTCTGTTTAGAATAAATTGAAATTGCTTTCTTATGGCTAACTTCAAAGCATTTGCAGATATCTGTCGTGGATTTCTAAGTCTTTTCTTTTGGCTAAGCAGTCTGTCTCTCTCAAACTTTGAAACTTCTTTCTTATCATCTGTGAGGTTAGGAGAGTTCTAGCCTCTGGGTGAGGAATTAAAATGAAAATAAACACTAAAATCATATCTTCTCGTATTATAAAAAATGAAACTGTTCATAAGACTCTGAAATAAAATTTAAAACCCTCTCTCCTTCCACTTCTAGTCTCACTGGGGCATTCCTATTTTAGCTTCTGACAGTTACCATTGAGACTTTAAAGGAATACATTTCTGTTCTTGATTCACCAACATGAGATGGTATTTTTATACTTTTTGCTACAATGTGGAAGAAATTAATGCCTTTTACTTTTTTACTTCCCTCTCTCTACTTCCCAGTTTTACTTTATTATTGTATTTACATTGTCAAGGTTTATAATATTTATATTCTGTTCTGTAACTATAATTAAGTCTTCCATGCTTTGCCTTTAGATTCACTCTATGCATCCAAAATAAGTTAAAACAGCATTTTAAATAGCACAATTACATAAATGTTTTTATTCTGGGTGTAATGCTAGCATGTGATGCTGAACCCATTCCATTTTGACAATGTCCCTCTTAAAAGTTCCAGCTGGGAACTGTCCATGGTCCTCCAGGCACAATCTGACCAGTTCAGAGCAGAGCGTTTGCAGTACTATAGTGAAGCCCGGAACACAGTGGCCTCACGGGCAACTAAATTCATTGTCAACTTGTATTGTGTTTGTCAATAATGAGAATTTCAAACTTACACTGAATTTTTATTATTTTCCAAGGTTGATGGTGTCATTGGGACAGCCTAAGGGGTGTGTATGTCTGTGTGTGTGTTCCTATCACTATTGACTCAGCACTTTAAATGGACCAGAATTTCCTGGATGTTTTCATAGTTGTCTCTGTTCTGTCATATCTTCCTTCCATTTCTAGCCCCCCAGCTACAGGTCCCTTCTCTAGAGATGATCAGAACTGGCAGTTGCTTGTGCTTAGTTCTAGAGAGATGCTCTTTTTATGTAAGTACAATGGCGCTAGACACATGGTTAGGTACCTTACATTTTTCACTGACTGTATCTTGGAGAGTCTTCCATATCAGTACATAAAAAATTTCCTCAGTTCTTTTTAGGAACTACATATGTTCTATGGTACAGATGTCTCATATTTGTTTAACTGGTCACATATCAGTGAATATTTGTGTAGTACCTAATCTTTTGCTGTATTGTAATGGAATAACTTTAAAAAATTTTTTTAAATTTTAATTCAATTAATTAACATATAGAGTATTATTGGTTTCAGAGGTACAGGTCTGTGAGTCATCAGTCTTATATAATACCCCATACCCATTACATCACATGCCCTCCTTAATGTCCATCCCCCAGTTACCCCATCCCACCGCCTCCCTCCCCTCCAACAACCCTCAGTTTGTTTCCTATGATTAAGAGTCTCTTATGGTTTTTCTCCCTCTCTGGTTTTGTCTTGTTTTATCTTTTCCTCTCCTCCCCTATGATCCTCTGTTTTGTCTTAAATTCCACATGTCAGTAAGATCATATGATTATTGTCTTTCTGTGATTGACTTATTTCGCTTAGCATAATACCCTCTAGTTGTAATGGAATAACTTTGCACATACGTCATTTTCCATATTCAGTAATCTACCCTGCAGATCTATTCTTGGGACTGGAATTGCAGGACCACAGGGTATGTGCATGCTTTATTTTGTTAGATGTTTATACCAGAATTATACCTATCCACACTCCCACCAACAATGTATAAGAGCACATGTTTGGGGAGAATTTCTGAGTTTATTTCTTAATTTTAAATGCAGTAGGTAAAAAAAATCAACTGTTTTTTCATTTTACAAAAAATTTTTTTAAAGATTTTTATTTATTTTTCAACAGAGAGAGACAGCGAGAGAGGGAACACAAGCAGGGGGAGTGGGAGAGGGAGAAGCAGGCTTCCTGCCAAGCAGGGAGCCCGATGTGGGACTCGATCCCAGGACCCTGGGATCATGACCTGAGCCGAAGGCAGACACCCAACTGACTGAGCCACCCAGGCGTCCCATCATTTTACAAAAATTTTCTAAGATTGGATGAATTAAACTCAAGCCAGAGGTTCTCCACCTGGATGATAATTAGTCATGTATTTTTGGTAGTTAGCAACACTAAAATAGGAAACAATTGCATTTTAAAAACAAACCTTTGAATGGTTTTATCACATAATGCATTTAATTGGGAATTAATACAGAGATGCATATAATTGGGAAGGTAAATCGAATGCCTTAGCCATATTATTTACAAGTGCTTTTGGTAAAAGTGGTTGTGAAGGGGTCATTATTCATTTCTTGCATTGGTAGGACAAACGAAAAGTTAAAGAATTTGGTTAAACAAGTCATCCCTATCACTGTGTCTCTAGAGGATGTCCTCTTTTGCAAATGTTTTCCTTTGTGGAGGTCATCCCTGATTTTGCTCAGAGGATGCTACCTGTTTCTTGTTCTGTGTGTCAGTGTGGTCTGACAGCAGTCCCCAGGGCCTGGCCAGTGATACCGATGTCACATTACTTGAGTGGATCCTTGAGGTAGCCATGCAACCAGACTCCACTCCAGCGCTCTGCCAGCTCTGTGGGTAATTGCGTTTGTAGTCTGAGGACTTCTGTTTACAGCAGATCAGCCCAGTGCTCCTAAATCCTGAAGCACTTAATCAGAGCACTGAGGCAGGGGCCGTCCCTAAGGCCTTGCCCCTGGCTCCCCAGGCCTGCACTTCATGTGAGAAACACCATAGAGTTCACTGGGCTGAAACGGGTCCAGAAAAGAAATCTGGCCTGCTGCCACGTGCCACGGTATTTTATGACCACAAATTCAGTTTTCTGATTTTTACCAGTCGTAAAGTTTTGTGCTTTGGATTTGTTGGGGGGACTGTTTGGGCTCTTGTCTCGAGGGCAGGGAGACAATAGTCTGATACTGGGGTTGGAACAAATTCCTCAGAGCTGGAATATTTTAACTGGTTTAATGGTCTCCTGGCGTAAGCTGCCAGTTGATTAGCATACTTCAAACTGACAGTAAGTCTATAGTACTCAAGCGTGTGATATATTTTTTGTGTGTGTATTTTGAGGACCTTTTGTATGTGGTTAAAAATATCACTTTCTGGGTCATGGAAACTCCCCTCTTTTGCATTAGGGGTTTTCTTTCCATAGAATATTTTCTTTCCATAGAATATTCTATGGAATATTTCTTCCATAGAATATTCTAGAGGGTTTTAGGGCTTGGAGGGGATTAGAATTAATTTTCATCTCTGCATCATTGAATTTGGGACCTTCAGTTTTCTAACTGCATGTTAGATGGTCATTTCTAAGTAAGGTAGGGGCCTAATTTATTATCACCAGTGCTGATACTGGTTACCTGAATTGAGTAGCTATTGTATTACTATCCAAAAAGAGATCTGTGAAGTGTTAAAATACTGTATTTGTGATAAAGTGTCCTTGACTCTACCTTAAGAGCCATAATTTAATTAGCAGCAGTGGGGCTTCTCCACAAAAAGGACTGGTATCGAAAGGGAAGGGGGAAATGAAGCTGTTGCCAGGACCTTGAGAAGCAAAGCATTTCATGAAATAGGTTCCACAATTAGTTTAGCCATTACTTTTCTGAAAAGGCCAGTCTTCTTTAATGACCTATCCACACTCGATGACTTTTTATTTCAAATTGATGCCAGGGACTTCCTTGATTTAAAAAAAATCACCAGGAGGAAAAAAAAAGTAAGATATTCTCTTTTTTAAAAAAAGTAAAGAAGTAAACCCAGCAATTGCACTACTGGAGATTTACCCCAAAGATACAAATGTAGTGATCCGAAGGGGCACGTGTACCTCAATGTTTATAGCAGCAATGTCCACAATAGCCAAACTATGGAAAGAACTTAGATGTCCATCAACAGATGAATGGATAAAGAAGTTGTGGTACACACCCCCCCCCACACACACTAGAATATTAGGCAGCCATCAAAAAAATGAAATCTTGCCATTTGCAACAACGTGGATGGAACTAGAGGGTATTATGCTAAGCGAAATAAGTCAATCAGAGAAAGACAAGTATCATATGATCTCACTGATATGAGGAATTTGAGAAACAAGACAGAGGATCATAGGAGAAGAGAAGGAAAAATGAAACAAGATGAAACCAGAGAGGGAGACAAACCGTAAGAGACTCTTAATCTCTGTGTAAGACTGATGAATCACAGATCTGTACCCTTGAAACAAATAATACATTATATGTTAATAAAAAAATTTTTTAAAAAGCAGGCATATGTGATAACCAATGATAACCTGTTTTTTGCAAGCCTAAATTGGGGGGGGTGCATCTTTTAAAATGAGGGTTTTTTTAAAAAAAAAACACTTTGCAGTTGATTATCTTGGCGTACTTGAGAGAAGCTGCACGGGCATAAAATCATTTGTCTTAGTGTCTTCCTGTCTTTCACCCAGGGTATTTGTCTTTCTCTCTACTTGCTAAGAACAGGAAATTGCAAAAATAAAGATTTAATCGGTTAAAAAGAAAAGAAAAGTAGCATTTCAAGGAACGTCTTTCTTGTCTCCAAGCTGTTGGTGGAGATAAATTCCTTCTGAAGTTCAGTTCTGGTGCAAAAGGGATGAGTGCATTTTAACTGACAGCCTGAAATGTTACTGGCCTGTTTAGACATGGAATCTGTTATTCAAAGATAGTGTTTCTTTTTTGTTGCTTTCGACCCTAACATACTATTTGTAATAAATAACAAATTTTATTTATTTATTTTTTTGCAAGTTACCTAGGCTGCAGTACTGTAGCAGTGCTGGTTAACAAGTTGCTTATTCTTATTTAATGTGAACTCGGGTATTTTAGAAATCCCTGTGAACAAGTTGCTTTTTTTTAAATCACTTTTAAAGATGCCCCTTTTATGCCTCTTTGGATCCTTCCAGATTATAGTACATAGAAGCGGGTGCACAGGTGGCCTCCCTTATGCCCTTCATTTATTTTTGTGGACCTAACAATACACATTATATGCTTTCAAATTATTATTCTCAGTGTGGTGGTACTTTATTTCCCTCTACTTTTATTTTTAATTTTTTTAAAGATTTTATTTATTTATCTGACAGAGAGATACAGTGAGAGAGGGAACACAAGCAGGGGGAGAGGGAGAAGCAGGCTTCCCGTGGAGCAGGGAGCCCGATGTGGGGCTCGATCCCAGGACCCCGGGATCATGACCTGAGCCGAAGGCAGACGCCCAACAACTGAGCCACCCAGGCACCCTATTTCCCGAATGGCTGGATATTCCTGTCTCTCTTCTTCAGGTTCTATCCATTTTATGAGACAAGGAGATACACGGTAAAGGAATGTTGAAAGAAAGATCTGATTTTCCTTTATGCAGTGATGTTTTTATGAAAACGCTACTCTATTTAGAATAGTATTAAGGAGGCGTCTTTATTCAGACAATTTTTAGTGCACAGGACACTTTTAGTAGGTAGGACTCTGAAAGTTTACTGTTTATTCAGAATCAATTTCCATGTATGTCAAGCTTTAGAGCAGATAATTCTGTAAACATTTTCTATCTATGGATTGCCTTTTACCAGCATGCTAGCGAGCAATTTGTTTTTATTAACTCTTTCTCAAGGTCCACGCAGGAAAGGCTTATAGGTCAGTGTCCTTCTTTTCTTAGCTCTGGTTTAACAACCCTTCTCTTTCTTAGACACCTACAGTTAGCTGACATCGCCTTTACAATTCAGTAACTTCAGGAAAAGATGGTGGGGAACTTACAGTTAAACAGGGAATGTAAAGAATTAACCCTCACTCCATGAAGTCTGGAAGCAAAGTAAATAAAAAGCAAATGCAGGTGCCCCTCCCTCAGTGGCTGCTAAGGTTCCTGTCTTCACTGTCTGTAATTGTTTTCAGGACTTGCTCCGTGCTGTAGAGACCAAAGGAGTTCTTGAAAGGGAAGTCAGGATCCTCCAAGAGAGGCTGCTTGCTGGTCAGCGGGTCTGGGATGCTTCGAAGCAGGAGCTGAGCCTCTTGAAGAAAAGATCTTGTGAGTTGGAGAAGAGTCTGGAGGCCAGTCTGGATGCGGCTGCAGCCTCGAGAAGCCAGTACTCCTCATTTAGGGAGGAAGTTGCCACCTTGCTTAGAGGCAGTGGGGACATGACGGGGCCCACGGAGGATGCCGTTGTGGAAAGGATCCGAGAAATGACCAGCCAGGAAGAGAGCAGGAAAAGGGTGAGTGGGAGGTGGCTGCTTGTAAGATTCTTGAGGACAGTAATTTGCTGGATCATTTAAATGTGGCTTTTATTACTTTCAATTATATAGCATACTTTGGGAGCCTGGAGAGTCACTTAAGTGACAGCTGACTACGATGTGGGTTCTGGAGTCAGAGCTACGTGTGCTTAATCCTGTCTCTCCTGCACACTCGCTCACTCCAGGTGTGACGTGGGCAGGATCCTAAGATGACAGCCTCTGAGATTGTGTTTTCTCATCCACTGGACAGGGGAGGCTCTGGGGCCACACCCCTCGTCTGAACCCGCCGGGGCCCGATGTGTTTTAGAATTCAGAATTTTTCAGGGTTTCCAATAGGTCAAATAGTAACACAGAATGGTAATGGAGGGAATGCTCTCACACATTCCTCCTCAGTGGGGTCTGGGGCAGTACCCCATAATCAACCACATTCATCGTTCTGCAGCAAAGCCCGTGGCGGCTCCATCATGTGGAACGCACCAGGACCATAAGCTTCGTGGCACTTTGGGGTAGGGTTTGCTGCCAAATCCCGTCAGGTCAAGCTTTATCAGTAAGTGAGTGGTGGAAAAAGCCGTCAGTTTTCAGATGCTTTTGGGTTTTGGATTTGCAGACAAGGTTTCCTAGACCTGGAAGAGTATCTGCTTCATAAGGTTATTGTTTGCTGAAAGCATTAAATGAAAAATAATGGTTGTGAAGTCCTTAACACACTACCTGGCCAATAATGATGATAAATATTAACCCTTGCTGACCCTGCTTCTCTTCTTCTCTGTCCTCCTTCATAATGGTGCCTGAACAGTCTTTTAAGGGACTTATTTAACACATGGAGAAAGATGTTTTAATTCACATATATGACTGAGGATTGTTGAATTTTGTTATCTTGTTTATACTATTAACAATTCTCCTTTACTACATAGCTTTCTTAGCTGTGTCAACTTCAGCCTGACTCCGTTTAAATTACCATCAAATCCAAATTATTGACGTCCTTATTAATGAGGTTTTAAAGTGAACAATATCCAAATTCTAGGTATAATTCCATTGTGATCTGTTTCTTCCATGAATTTATGCCAATTTTTCCCTCTTTTGATGTTTCTAAAATACCCAGAGAAATCAGTAACTCAGAGTTCACGATTGCATTTGACAATTTCCTTTAATGATCAAACATTTTCAGTTCCCTTTAAAAATTCTCCACAATTTGGGGTGCCTGGGTGGCACAGCTGGTTAAGCATCCGGCTCTTGGTTTCCACTCAGGTCGTGATCTCAGGGTTGTGAGGTCAAGCCCCGAGTGGGGCTCCCCACTCAGCATGGAGTCTGCTTGAGGCTCTCTCTCCGTCTTCCTCTGCCCCCCTCCCCGCTCTCGTTCACTCTTTCTCTCTCTCAAATAAATAAATAAATCTTAAAAAAAAATTCTCCAAAATTCATGTGTGTTCTTAGGAGCAGCCCAAGTGACCCTTTTGTCCAAGTGTAGGATTCTCTTTGTGGATATAAAATGGTCATCCTGTGACATGTGCAGTTCTCTGAGAGTAACTCAGTTTTTCTCATGATTGGTACTGGATTGGAGAAGAAAATTATTTCCAGGACTGAGAAATACTTCAGTCAGTTATTTACCTTGACTAGCAGTCGATGTACTTCAGTAGCTAATGGTTCTTTACCATTTTGTTTTATTGCTTCCCTCTTCTGTTTTCCCAAATGTTTTCCTCAAATTCTTTTAATTTAGCATGGGAAACATGGCATAAAATTGTCAGCATGATGTATATGTTTATTTTCTAAAGCAAAATGATGTAAATTGGTTAAGCTGGCTATGCCTCTCCCCAGCCCCCCATAAAAATCAGAATGATTCAGAGTCTTTTTAGTGCTTTTGTCTGCCTCTTCTACCCTGTAATTTTTTTTCAATAGCTGTTCTCACTATTTAAAAGCCTGAAATCAAGCATATAGCTGGGGTCTTGTGTGACTCATCATCAAGTAAAATTAGGAGAAAATGGATTTCATATATTGTCTTAGAAATGTTTCTGAAGAATGGGAGATTTACAAATTGATGAATCTGTTTGTTGAGGAGGCTGTGCACCCCTGGACAGTTGCCTTGGTTAAACACACACTCAGTGGTTGAGTAATACCCATGGGGAGGCCCAAGGGTGGGTTTAGGCGGGGCCTGGCAAATTCGCCCTTTCAGGTCGACTCCTACTTTCTGAACCTGGCTTTTCTTGTTTACCTTGTTGCTGTTCATTTTGACTCTCCTGTGTTTGCAATTCTCTGTAGAATTCAGGACACCACCCACACTTTTTCAGTAAGTCATTTCTGCTTGTTCCTTGCTTTTCTGCTTATAGCAAAACCAAGTTCTCTTTTTAAAAGCATTACCGGATCTTGGAGTAGGGTTTCTCAGGCTTGGCACTATTGACATTTCAGGCTGGATAATCCTTTGTCGTGGGCCCATTCTGTACACTGTAGGGTATATAGCAGCATCTCTGGCTTCTGCCCACTAGGTACCAGTTGCGCCATTTCCTCCCTCAATTTGTAACAACCAAAGATGCCGCCGGACAAATGTCCCTGGAGGGTAAGATTATCGCCAGTTGGAAACCGCTCTCCTAGAAGAATGCCCTACTGTTGGGTTCCTAGGAATTCTAAATGAGCGTAGATGTTATTTAGCCTTGAAATTTCAGTACCCTTGTAACAGGTGTTTTTGAAATAATGATGTCTTGCACAATGACAGAAAGTTGTGACATTTTCAGATTTAGTGTGGAATTTCGAGGCAAACATTTTTCTCTTACTTTTAGATGTTTCCTAACTGCTAATCCTCTGGATGAGAAATGATTATGTACAGAGAGGACATGATCATGATTGATTTCTATGTCATTTCTTAAGTTAAAGACAATTCATACAAGCTCAGAAATGTTTATCTAGACAGCTCTTTTGTTCTTTAGGCACACATAGGGCTTTATTTCCTCTGCTGGAGTGTTTCTTGGTTCAGTGGCTCTCTGGGAGCCGTGGGGATCCAGCCTGATGCTCTAAAGGACCTGAGACGAGCTCCACACCACTCCCCCCACGCCCTCATCTGATCTAATCATTCTGCTCTCTTCTTAATCCTACAATACACTAAATCAAACATTTACCTAGAAACTTTGGCAGACTCCCACTGACATTTCATTGCCCCAAATTATGTTACATGGCCACTCCAGGTGACAGGGCCATCTGGTAGAGTGAAAAGGTAGAGATTTTGGTTCTCCCAGCATCACAGTGTAGTAATATCCTAGGATGGCCATAACAAAGTACCACTAACTTCGTGGCTTAAACAATAGAGGTGTGTTGTCTCCTAGTTCTGGAGGCTAGAAGTCTAAAATCATGGTGGATTGGTTCCTTCCGAGGCTGTAAGGGAGAATCTGTTTCAGGTTTTTCGCCTAGCTTCTGGTAGCCTCACGTAGTCCTTGGCTTATGGATGGAATTCTCTCTGTATCTTCACATTATTTTCCTTCTATTTGTGTGTGTCTCTGTGTCCAAATTTTTCCTGTTTTGTAAGGACACCAGTCGTATTGCATTAGGGCCCAGGTCTGTAAAGACTCAATTTCCAAATAAGGGCACATTCTGAGGTACTGGGGGACTTGAACATACCTCTTTGTTGGAAGACCCAATTTAACCTGTAGCAAAAGTGGACATGCACAAAGGTGGAGGGAGTGGAGACAGCCAGTCAATAGGGTTGCCCAAACAAACGGATAAGAAGGAAGGAAAATTTGATTAATATTTTATTCCAGGTTCCTGACAACATAGTTTATATATTTCCTCAGTAAAAATTATAGCTTGAATAAGGAGAAAAGAGTTTTATGTCCAAAAGGCACTGGTCCTTAAGTGACCCAAGTGGCTCTTCCTCAGTTTAGAACTCTTGTGCCTCCATTTGGTTTAATCTTAGGGCAAAAGTGCCTCTCTGGTGAAATCAACAACTACTTGTCCTTGGCAAGTGAATTAATTCTTTTAGGGCATTATGACTTCACTTCCAAAAAACAGGCTGCTTGTTGTTGAAGTATAATTTACTTCCATGCCTTTTTTATTTTATGAGGTATGTTTTCTTTACTATAATCCACCCCCCCATTCCCATCCCTGGCACATTTTGCCCCATGTAATATCAGGGATATGTTAACAGATGATACTAAGAAAAAGAAGAAAAAAAATAAAAAGATTACTGATTCTTTGGAGTTCTTGGTGTTAAAAACACAACCCATCTTTACAGTTTTGGCAAGACACGTATATTCACCCAGGCACCCATTTGATGTTCCCAAGAACCGAGTCAGATTGGTATGTTAATTTATTTGAATAAATCTATGTACATTTAGCTCTGGAAAAAAAAAATGGTGCTATCACATGTACCGAGACGCAACTAAGCTCAGTTCTTTGTCGCCTAGAATGTGGAGAGCTTCTCAGCTGTTTGCTCCTCTCTGGACACAAGAATTTTTGTCAGGGCAGTTTGTAGGTTCTGCATGGTTCAGCCATCTCCATACTAGTGGTTTTAAAAGTTATACTATGCTGGGGCGCCTGGGTGGCTCAGTCGTTAAGCGTCTGCCTTCGGCTCAGGTCATGATCCCAGGGTCCTGGGATCGAGCCCCGCATCGGGCTCCCTGCCCGGCGGGAAGCCTGCTTCTCCCTCTCCCACTCTCCCTGCTTGTGTTCCCTCTCTTGCTGTCTTTCTCTGTCAAATAAAGAAATAAAATCTTAAAAAAAAAGTTATACTATGCTGAGTCTTCAAGTTCCGTGGAACCCTCTTGGGTCCCCTCGGGGTGAGGATCCAGGAGGAGCCCTTTCACCTTTGATTTAGCACATTGTCCTGTATTTGTGCTTCCCAGAAAGATTTTCAGTTGAAAAACAGGTTCTATGGGCTGCGAGTGGTTTGAGAAACATGACATAGGACAATTCCTGCAGGGCCCCTTTAACTCTTTATGACAAAAGCATAGGACCGACTCAACCAACATACTGGGGTAGTAATACTGATGATCAGAATGAATGCAGTGCGTTGGACTTCAGTTGGGTGTGCAATACTGTGCTACTCACATTATCTAAGTTATCATCTGATTGTCAAAGCAAAGACGCTGAGTTTCAGAGAGGTTAAAGTACTTGCTTCAGTTCACATGCTGGTGAGGAGTAGAATGGGCACTCGAGACCAGGACTATTTGACTCCAAAGACCCCATGCCACAGTCTGGTCTCCATCAAGATGTCCTCTTCTTTCTTCAGGGTCATTAACACTCCCTTGGTTTAACTTCCTGTAGGTGCCTGAGGGGTCATCTTCAAAATGGAGTCTTTACTGATCCGTCTCTATGGCAGGCATTGCTTTCTTCGGGGAAATACATACAGATAATGTAATATCTGTAAACGGCACCCCCCTCCCCCAAGTCAGTATCTTGGGGTGTTGTTTGATGGCTGTTGTTTTGTAAGTTACTTTGTGTATTGTACCAAGACTCTTGCATTAAGATCACACCTATTATCAGTAAGTGCCGATGGTAGGAAATAACGACCTGAGGTTCTCGGAGGCTCTTACTCTGTAATTAAATTTGAAATTTCCTTGGAGAATATAATTCCTTGGATGTGGTACTAAGCAGCTTGCCATCAAATACTTGATTTCAAGTACCCACAGCAGTATAGAATTAATTGAATTACAGGCCTGGGACCTTGAGAGCCATGGAAGCACAGGATTAGAGCATTTAGAGATCTAATAGTGTAACATTCCTGACTGTAGCCCTTCAGTCCACTCCATAACACTGTTTACACATGGTTGGCCCATTTCTTACCATCTCCAGTGACTGGGAATCCACTGCCAGACATGGGAAGATGCTTAAAATATGAGGTAAACCCAAAGACATAAAATTGCAAATATAGTATCTCAACTCTGTTTTAACAGTGCATAAAAATAGATTTAAATATAGAGCAGGAGGGAGAGAGGGAGAGAGAGAATCTTAAGCAGACTCCATGCCCAGCATGGAACCCAGTGTGGGGCTCGATCTCACAACCCTGAGATCATGACCTGAGCTGAAATCGAGCCGGACACTTAACTGATTGAGCAACATAGGCACCCTATTTGAAAACATTAATAGTTGTTCTCTCTGGGCGGGGATTATTTCTTTTTCTTATTTATACTTTTTAAAATCCTTAATGAATCTTTTATAGTGGGCATGTATTACTTTGTAATTATGGAGACCAGGAGAAATTCTTCCTTATACTGAAGTGGAATTATTTCTCTGATTTCTATCTGTTAGTCCTTAAGCTCTGAGGGCAACTCAGAACAAACCTTATTATTGTTCCATATAATAGGCTTTCAAAATATTTGAGGATGGCTTGAGTGTCTTCTTGCTTTTAAAAATGGTTATTGATAGGAGTGCCTGGCTGGCTTAGTTGGTAGAGCATGTGCCCTCAGGGTCATGAGTTTGAGCCCCACATTGGGCGTGGGGCCTACTTAAAGAAACAAAACAAAATGGTTATTGATAGATAAGCAGAATTTTTTTTTAACTGAAATTGTAAACCTGAAACCATCAAGTTATTTCAATTTAAAAAAATTATTTTTAAAGATTTTATTTTATTTATTTGAGAGAGAGAGAGAGCACACAAGCAGGGGGAGTGGGAGAGGGAGAAGCAGGCTTCCCGTGGAGCAGGGAGCCTGATGCGGGGCTCGATCCCAGGACCCCAAGATCATGACCTGAGCCGAAGGCAGCCGCTTAACGACTGACTGAGCCCCCCAGGTGCCCCAAATTATTTCAGTTTTGCAAGAATGGTACTATTATGTAGATATCTATTTTTTTCTTTTCCTCTTCTGAAACAAACCATCAAAACAAAACAAATTTATCGCCCCAACCTTGGTGTTTTTATAGAATTCAGCGTTTCATGAAAACTGGATTTGGTAGAATCAGTTTGATTATTCTCAGAGCGTACCTGAGGTGTTTGGTAAACTAATGTTCTTGATTAAAGGAATATCAGGACAAAGAAAAACTTCAGGAAGGGATGGAAGCATTGGGCAAGTGAGGGGTGTGTGGAGGGAAAGTGGGGCCTTTAATGGAGAAACTGTGATTTCATTTTGTAGGAGAGGAGGTAGCAATCAGATCCTCTTGCCTTCTTGTACGTAGAGTTGCTGTGTTAAATTTGACCTCTCAAATGCTAAAATGATAACATCACTACTTAAGTACATAGCACAGAAACAGCCTCACCGGAGTTTGGTGCATGAGTAACCAATATTCAGTGGAACATTTAAAAAAAGCTTGAAAAATTATCTTTATGCACTTGAATTCCTGATAAATTTACTATCAAAACTAACTCACTGTATAATCTTTAAACTACTATATCTGGTGGGAGAGTTTCTCCGGAGAATGACATTTACATAGGTTTAAAAGCATTTTCTGTCTGAACTTTTTTTTTTTCTAGCTAAGCTTTGAAACTCCTAAATTAATGGCAGTTTTAGGGGTAAGTCAATATGATCCATAAAATTTCTCGAGTAACCTGTTTAAGGAATTATATAAAAATTAAAAATACCAATAGAAATATTTTATTAGATAATGAATGCATGTTTATTTCAAGGGGAGGCAAAGACAGCTATCAAATTACCTGTTTTTTAATTTAATTTTTACAAAGAATCTGGAAGTTGGTGTTATAAATAGTTATGTTGCTTGGGCTGAGCACTAGATTTTAACACTTTGTTGCATTGAAAACAAGCCTTATCCTCGTCTGTTTCTTTGTTTCCAGATGGTTTCCCAGCTTGAAGCCCGAATATCTGAGCTTGTGGAACAGTTGGGAAATGAATCTGGGTTTCACCAGAAAGCTCTACAGAGAGCCCAGAAAGCAGAAAACAAGTTGGAGACTCTTCAGGGTCAGCTGACACACCTGGAGGGAGAGCTGGTTTCTGGAGATGTTTTGCGAGATCACTTGAATTTTGAGAAACAAAAAGTAATAACCTGACGGTATATCCATGGGTAGAAACATCTGTTGCAGTGTAAAATTTTACCTGAAAATATCCTGAATTTTACAGTATTTCAGTAGAACGGTTATGTCTGAGGAATGAGGAAATGTCAAGGAACAACAGATACTGTTTTGGGGGATCTTCCCATTCTTGGGGGCTTTCTTGAGTCAAATTAATCCAGTTAAACTCATCGTACAGGAGACCCTGATGGTTTGAGGGCTAAGGTATGAATAACACACAGGTCTTGATCATAAAATCTCATAAAAGCCTTGATCATAAAAGGCTCTTGATCATAAAAGGGTCATCATTCAATAGAGGAGGCCGACATTCTAGTAATTTGCTGTGACGGTGAAGCTGTGTGTGTTGTAAGAGATGGATTGATTGATGAAATACTGTAGGAATTCAGTGAAGGGAATGATAACTTCTGGATAAGGGGAGGATTTTTACAGGGGAGAGAATAATGCAGTTCATCCTTGGAGGAGAAGTTGGATTTTAGTGGAGAAGGCGAGCAGATCCTGTAGGGCCAACAGGTTGAGCGAGGGCATGAAAGCTTGTAGGTGCATCGTTAGGTCAGAGTGCAGAGCGATTGTTCGCATTTGGCTGCAACACTGCACCCTTGATGGGGTTGTGGCAAGAGAGAAGACTAGATTTATTTGGATTAGGAAGATTCTTTATTCTCTGCTTGGTAGAACATGGAGCCTAATAAGTGACTTTGAGCGTCACGATGTTTTGGAAAGAGGACGTGATGTCCCCGTGAAGCTGAAGTTACAGTAGGGACAGACTCAGAAATGCTACTGGCGCTAGCCCCGTGGGCGAGAAGGAGAAGGGAGTGAGAAGAGGAGGGGCGCCCCCTTCTAGTAGAGTGGTGAACAGAGGCCAGTTTGCCCTGGGTTGAAGGGTGAGTGAGACGGGAAGGCTAGAGATGTAGAAAGAGATTCTTAGGAAGTCTGGTGAGCAGGGGAAAAAAGACATGTAGCAGGAGGACCAAAGAAAGGTTTTATTGGATGGAATGGGAAGGTACATGTTTGTGGGTCCCAGGAGTCTGCCTGGGAAGAAAAGGACAAATGGGATTGGAATTTGGCACGAAAAACACGCTTAGGTTAAAAAATCCGTACCCTGGAGACTCATTCATGCTCATTTTTCTGTACTTAAAAAAGCCGAGGAAACATCTTGCCTGCACTGAGGGTTGGCTAGGCAAAGATGTGTAAGGGGTCTGGGGGAAATCCTAGTCTAAGTGGATGGGACAGGTAAATGAGGACACAATAATTAATTAATGGAAATAGGTATAAAATTCAACAGGAACTTGGGTAAAGTTCCTATTTCTGTGTGAGGAAATGAGCCCTTTTCACATAGGAGGTGGCATTCATGAGAGGCTTTATTTTATTTATTTTTTTAAAAAGATTTTATTTATTTATTTGAGAGAGAGAGAATGAGAGATAGAGAGCACGAGAGGGAAGAGGGTCAGAGGGAGAAGCAGACTCCCCGCCGAGCAGGGAGCCCGATGCGGGACTCGATCCCGGGACTCCGGGATCATGACCTGAGCCGAAGGCCGTCGCTTAACCAACTGAGCCACCCAGGCGCCCCTCATGAGAGGCTTTAAAGAATGAGTAGGAATTCGTCAGGCAGAAGGGGTGGGGAAGGGATTCAGGGTACAGGGAACAGCAGGAAGGAGGAGGGAATGGAGATGTGCCAGACTGCTCAGGAGACCAGTGGGGCACGGGGAGACTGAACATGGTGCGTGGTGAGGCCAGAGGCATGAGGAGACTCTACAAGCATGTAGGAATAATTGGCATAGAGAAGGCTAATTTCCCAAGGCTTTATCCTTTGGGTAACAGGACACTGTAGAAGGTTTTTGAGTAAAAGAAAGTGAAAGAAAGAAAGGGTTGTGAGTCTCTGAAAGCAGACTGGCTCTGAGGACCTAGAGACTTCAAGGCAGAGAGCCCAGCTGAGGGATTCTTAGAATAGTGCAGAATGGAAGCTAATAAATATTTGGACCAAGTAGTGGTTTTATGAATGAAGGGGTAGATTAGAGATATTGGGGAGGGTGAAGGGTATCTGAAAAAGGTGTGTTTGTTGAAATTTTAAGTTTGAAAGGACATGTTGCACCTGAATACAATATGTTGCATCGGAAGAAGTCTGACTGCTGGACTGTCCACCTAGATGTCCCGCGTATGCCTTGCACTAAACATATTCCAAATGGAAATGATCACCTCTCCACAGATTTGCCCCCTCCTGCCTCAGGGATGATGAGGTCATCTGCCTCCAGGTGTCCAAGCCAAAAGCCCCAGAGTCATCCGTAATGCTTCCCTCTTTTTTTTTTTTTTTTAAGATTTCATTTATTTATTTGACAGAGAGAGAGAGCAAGAGCAGGAACACAAACAGGGGGAGTGGGAGAGGGAGAAGTAGGCTCCCTGCTAAGCAGGGAGCCCAACACGGGGCTCGATCCCAGGACCCCAGGATCATGACCTGAGCCGAAGGCAGACGCTTAATGACTGAGCCACTTAGATGCCCCAGTGCTTCCCTCTTTTTAAGCAATTCCTAAACACTATAGTTTCCATCTCCTTAAGGTATCTCAAATACCCTCTGCCCCCAACTCTGTATTTAGTGGTAGTGCTTTGACTCAGAGCATTATGGTCATTTGCACGAACTCCAGAAGCAACCTGACAGCTCCCCACTGTGCCAGGGAGGTCTTAATAAGAGGCATGTCTAGTCTTACCTTTCTCCATCTTAAAACTGGCCAGGGGGCTCTCTGTGGCCCTCAGGCTCAGCTACAGATTCCTTCTCACCATGGCTGAGCATCTGAGACCTGGCTAGGTCCCCGCTCCAGGCTTCCCATCACCCTGCCATCTCTCCAGCCCACGGTGGCAAACTGAAGGCCTCTGTGGACCAATAGGGCCCTGCAAGGGTGTGAGGGGATTGAGTCCAAAGATACCCATGTTCAAATTTGTAAAAAAACCCACTTACCTGGCAAAAAAAAAAAAAGAGAGAGATTGAGGGAGAGAGCCCCCTTAACATCCCATATTGCACATTGCTGTTCTCTCTGAGAGAATGTTCTCCTTAACTCCTTCACCTGGTAGTAGCTGTCCCTTGACGACTTGGCTCCAATAATCACTTCCTCTGGGAGTCCCTTAGAGGCTTAGTTTTCCTTCATGCAACATGTGTCTGTGTCTGTCACAGCACTTAGGTTTATTCTTAAGTTTGTATTTTTTTTAAGATTTATTTATTTATTTGAGAGAGAGCGTGTGTGCAGGGGGGAGGGGCAGAGGGAGAGGGAGAGAGAGTCAGCATCGAGCCCATCATGGGACTCAATCTCATGACCCTGAGATCACTACCTAAGCTGAAACCAAGAGTTGGACGCTTAACTGACTGACCCACCCAGGCGCGCCCCTTTCTTCAGTTTTTAATTCATCTTCTCCTGTCAACTCCAAGATTCCTGAGGCCAGGGGAAATTTTTATTTTCTTTTTTTCTGGGTTTCTCCAGCACTTAGGGAAGAGTTAAATAAATAGTGTTTAAATTATGAAGAAACATAATAAAAGGCAAAAATTTTAGGTAGATTGGTGTCTCTTCCCTTTTTTTTTCATTGTAATGACTCATTAATTTTCGCTGAGACTGTGCCAAAAGAACTCTCAGTTATGAAAGCGAATTATGTAAACAGATTCCGTCCTGCTGACTATTCTGTAGATCACCACCTACAACATGCACATCCTAGTGAGGGGGATGGGTGTGTAAACTGGAAAATCTAAGTTGTACAGAGTTGAGATTTAGATATAGGTAATTGAGGTTCACACTGAATAGAAGATATCTAGGCTAATCTGTGACTCAAAGAAACAAGCGGTACAGTAAATCCTTCGAGTAACCCTCGCTTTCTGAGGCACAGCTGAGGTCCTTGAAATGGGCACTTGTTCTGTGGGGTGTTGGCTTTGTCCTATCTTTATCCCTTTATGCCTGTTATAGATCTTTGCATGCTAAGTGGATAGGTCACCTGTAGACATAGCAAGAGAGGCTTTATACCTCCATGTGAAATGTACTGATTCTATTTTATTTACAAAACAAACAATAGCAGTTATTTTCCTTTCATTCACAAATTTTAGAAATGAGTAATTCCAGGGGCGCCTGGGTGGCTCAGTCTATTAAGCATCCAACTCTTGATTTCAGCTCAGGTCATGATCTCAGGGTCGTGAATTGGAGCCCCATGTTGGGCTCCGCACTGGGCGTGGAGACTGCTTAGGTTTCTCTCTCTCCCTCTCCTTCTGCCCCTCCCCCCCACTCGTGTACTCACTCTCTCTCACAAAAAAAAAAAAAAAAAATGAGTAATTCCAAGGGCAGAGCTGATACAGCATTAAGAAGTGACAAATTGATGGGCGCCTGGGTGGCTCAGTTGTTAAGCATCTGCCTTCGGCTCAGGTCATGGTCCTGGGGTCCTGGGATCGAGCCTCACAGTGGGCTCCCTGCTCAGCGGGAAGCCTGCTTCTCCCTCTCCCACCCTCTCCCACTCCCCCTGCTTGTATTCCCTTTCTCACTGTGTCTGTGTCTCTCTCTGTCAAATAAAATCTTCAAAAAAAAAAAAAAAAGAAGTGACAAATTGATGATGTGAGAACAAAAGAAGCAACCTATGGTCTTATAGCATAACACAGTAACCCATGGTCTTGTAACACAGCCAATAAGCAATATTTTGCTATGACTGTGCCTCCCGAAGAAGAGATTAAATTTTAGATATGCCATTCAGCAAAATTTGGAAATATTCACAATTTCATCTTGATGACTGAAAGTATAGATAGTTCTGGCCTTCACACTGGCATGCTTCAGTCATCAGGAAATTATACTTATTTAAGCATATAATTGCCTCAGAGAGATGCCAGATAGTTGAGGACTTATTGCAATGTGAAGCAAGTTTCAAAGAGAGAACCCAAATCGTGAAGTGATGATGCAGAAGACTCATTGATTGGTTCACTCATCCAGCAAGCATCACTCTAGCTGGCATGGCCAGAAACCACAGAAATCAAATGGAGGATACAAAAAATACTGATTCAAAGGGATACATGCACCCTAATGTTTATAGCAGCATTATCAACAATAACCCAATTATGGAAAGAGCCCAGATGTCCATTGACTGATGAATGGGTAAAGAAGTTGTGGGGTGTGTGTGTGTGTGTGTGTGTGTGTGTGTGTGAGATGGAGTATTACTCAGCCATAAAAAAGAATGAAATCTTGCCATTTGCAACAACATGGATAGAACTAGAGTGTATTATGCTAAGTGAAATAAGTCAGTCAGAGAAAGACAAATACCAAATGATTTCACTCATGTGGAATTTAAGAAATAAAACAAATGAACATTAAGGGAAAAAAAAGAGAGGCAAACCATAAAACAGACTCTTAATTATAGAGAACAAACTGAGGGTTCCTGGAGGGGCGGTGGGTGGGGGATGGGCTACATGGGTGATGGGTATTAGGGAGGGCACCTCTTACGATGAGCACTGAGTGTTGTATGTAAGTGATGAATCACTAAATTCTACTCCTGAAACCAATATTATACTATATGTTAACTAACTAGAATTTAAATTAAAACTTGGAAGAAAGAAAAAGGAAATCAAGTGGAGGAAGATCCTAGAACAGTTTTGTGACACTAACCTGTTCAAATAGGAACCTTTACTTCCTTGATATAGCTCTATTTTACAATATTATTCCTTAAAGTATGATACATTAAAAACTCTTAAAGACATGTTTTTTGTATAGGATTTTAACTTAAAAAAGCAAAAACATTGTCCAAGTGTGTTTGTATGGCAAGAGCTTTGATTTTGGAGTGACTGGAGTGGTAACTGTTGTATTTTTTTTTTTTTTCACATTTGAGGCCAGGGCCCACTTAGGTGGGAAAAATTGCCATGGAAGTTTTGTGAGTGAGTAGATCTCAGGGGTTGGATTAACCTGGAGGAGGCATCATGGTATCGGCAAGTAGTCAAAACAGAGACGTGGATGTAGTCAGGATGGTGCCAGATTTGTCCCACGGTGGGGTGACGAAGAGTGTCTAATGTTAGGTTGAGCATCAAGATCACTGACAAGGAGAGTCAAGTGAATTTGGACAAGAAGCAGGACATGGAACTGGCAGGGTGGTTCAGGAATTCATTAGCAGGCACTGGGGTCCTGGGCTGGGCTACAGACTGGGTTTAATGAGACCTATCTGTAAGCTTGGGATCCTGTGAGATCACCTGTTAATTTTGTTTTTGTGTCTCATTTTAATTTTTGTTCTTGGGTTTAGTATCTTAAATTTCTGGATCAGCTCTCAGAGAAAATGAAATTGGACCAGATGGCTGCTGAACTTGGCTTTGAAATGCGTCTGGATGTAGTTTTAGCTCGCACGGAGCAGCTGGTCCGTCTCGAGAGCAACGCAGTCATTGAAAACAAGACTATTGCCCACAATTTACAGAGAAAGGTAGGGGATATTGAAACTTGCTTGAGAGAAGGAATTGCAGAGAGTCTTAAATACTGAAAAATAATGTACCCCTCCTTCCTATTTGCCACTGTAGTTAGGAAACATACAAATACATATTTAGAATTTGAGTCTCTGTTTCAAGTTTGAGGGATGGTAAGAATATCACCTAAGATTATGTGTGACTGTGAGTAATAGAGACCCCAAATAAAAGTGACTTAAATGACTAGAAGTGGCCCCCCCACCTCACATAAATTTCTGGAGGGAGGCGGCTCAGGTTGAGTGTGGCAAGTCTGCTCTGTAAAGTTTTCAAGGAGCCCAGCTGATTTCAGCTCATTAATCTCCCATCCCTAGGGTGGTCCACATCCTGATGGTTAAAATGGTACCTAGAATCATCATGTCTGTGTTCCAGACAGATTTTGGAGAAGAAAGGGATGAAGAAGAGGGATGCAAAAGAACATGTGTGAGCTGTCTTTTGACGGGAGGCTTCCAGAGTTTTCTATGTAAACTTGTATTTATATCCCACGGTTCTGATGGCTGAAACTAGCTGCAAGGGAAGCTGGAAACTGTAGTCTTTATTCTGGGTAGCCACTTGCCTCACTAAGAAACTCACTGTTTATTCTTAAGAGAGATGAGGGGAGCTGGGAAACATGTAGCAGTCTCCAACTGGATAAACTCTCTCTTTTTTTAAAAAGATTTTATTTATTTATTTGACAGAGAGAGACACAGCGAGAGATGGAACACAAGCAGGGGCAGTGGGAGAGGGAGAAGCAGGCTTCCCACGGAGCAGGGAGCCCGACGCAGGGCCTGGGATCATGACCTGAGCCGAAGGCAGATGCTTAACCGACCGAGCCACCCAGGTGCCCCTGGATAAACTCTCTTGCATTGGATAGTAAAGCGAGGAGAAGAGCTAATTTTCCACTCACTCAAAAGAAGAGAAACAGTTTAGATGAAATAAATGAATGAGTGGATGAAAAGGATAAAAATATAATGATTAGTTATATAATTATTGGCATTGGTGAAAGAGCAAAACAGATGTGTTCTTGGAATAGTTCTTATGAGAAAATTCTGTGGTGGAATTATAGTGTATAGGCTGTGTAATGAGTCACATCTGGGATCCCAGTTTCGTTCCACCAAGCTCTGTGACCTTGGACAAATTACATACCTCTCTGTCTCTGTTTCCTTATATTTAAGATGGGGATAATATCTTCCTCATGAGGTTGTTCATTTTTAATAAAATACATGTTTAAACTCTTGGCTTATAGACTGTACTCTATTCACATTTGGCCTCTTCTCCATTTACTGGATTTTTAGAAATATTTTATTTAAAAAAAGCAGATAACCCTATTACCATCAGAGACATTGAATTAAGCTATAATTCTTTGGGTTCTCCTCAGATAATGGATTTCTTCTTCTTTATCCAACACCATTCCTTCTTAAGTATTGTATAATTTTTAAAATTACCAGTGTACAGAACTTACCAGTGTAATTTTGCAGTAGAGTGGAATTTGACGTGAAAAAGCTCAAGGAAGGGAATTTGGCTAGAGAAGCACAAAAAGGGCTTTGTTAAAGATGGATCTGGGTATGGACTATGCTGTCATAGTTAGACAAGCCTGCGTTTCAGTCTGCCCTTCACATCTCTGAACACTTTACAAATGCGGAGTATATAATTAGCGAAAATGCGACAGTCTTCAGCTCTGACATTCTAGAATTCTACACGATTCCAATTCCCAGTGTTTGCAATGGATGAAGGAGGTTTCTGTACTTAATATTCTACTCACTAAATGTGACATTTGAAGCCTAGGAGGATTTTTCCCCCCCTTAGAGTCCATAATATTTTTTTAAAAACCACCATAATTTCCTTCATCAAGTTTGACTGTGAGTGGTAAGTGCTGTTTGAAGAACTTGTTCTCTGCTTGGTTTGTGGATGGTATAGGCCAGGCATATAATAAACATACCAATGAACTAAAACCTTCTTGATGTCCCTTCTATTTCAAAGATTTTAAACATGTAAACAAAGCTTTCTCTAAACTCTCCCTGGTATAGCTTACTTTAAAAATATATCAACTCTCATGTTTGGTGTTGCTCAGTCTGATTCTAAGGGATTGAAATTAGCCAGTCTAGGTTTTTGGTACTAACCTGCACTCTGGCTTCCTTTAGAAAAGACCAGTGTAAGTATAGTTGCCATGGGGTTGTGGAGAGGATTTTGTCTCTCTACCCTATTCTGATCTTGATAAGCCCATTTTAGTAGTTTTAAAAGTAATTTTATGTGTCTATTATGCTGTACATACTGTGGGAGGGCATCAGATGTTGAAAGCCTACTTCTCTCTGTGTCTTCTGTGGCTCTTTTGTCTCATCCTTTGCAGCTACAAAATTAATTCTTGGAAAAATAGGACTAAAACATGCAATCGGGAAAAGGAATCCAATAACCTTTTTTGGTGGTTTACAAATTAGTCTTATTGAAGTGTAGATAAAGATCAACATGATCTGAGTGATTCATTTATATTTACTGACTGTTCAATGATTATTTAAAAAAAAAATCGCTGTTTGTATCATATCAGCTCAGGACTCAGAAAGAAAGGCTGGAGAGCAAAGAACTACATATGAGCCTCCTGCGACAGAAAATCGCCCAGCTGGAGGAGGAGAAGCAGGTGCATTCGGCCTTGGCTGTGGAGAGGGATGAGACCAATCTCACCCTAAGAAAGTTGCAGAAGAGGGTGGAGAGGCTGCAGAAGGAGCTGAGTGTGTGTCGAGAAGCGAACACGGAGCTCAAAGCCAAGCTGGCTGAGCTGAAGGCAAGTGCTCAGCTTGGTTCCCTTGTTGCTTTTTGCAAGGTACCCCTTTAGTTTATGTGAAAGAGTGGAAGTCTCACAACAGACACAGCAGAAGAGAAACAGGGACAAAAGCTTCCTCTGGTTTTCTAGAGTTGTGGGGGAAATGCAAAAGCTACACAACTCAGCATATTAGATCACTGTAGAGTCTCCTTGATAGTTGAACCCAAGCCACGGTTGTTGCTGCGTGAAAAGTCCATCAAAAAAGGGTGATGTCGGTGGGGGGGCGGGATGAAGAGGCCACTTCATCATGATGAGCACTGAGTAAGATGTAGAAGTGTAGAGTCCCTATATTGTATACCTGGAAGGAATAGAACACCATGTAGGAACTATCCTGGAATTCAAAGAAAAAAGAAACAAAAGGGGTGATGTGACGTAGAGAAAATATAAGCATTTCTTCCAAGTGTGGTATTTGGGATCATGTAGGGAGCTATCACGTGGGAATCTGCTTAGGAAGAAGTGAGCAAATGAGCACAGCCGTTCACTGAGAAGAGTCAGGCAGGCAACGGTGTTTCATGAGCTCGGTGAGATGCCTTATCCCCGGAAGGGAGGAAGGTACTCAGATCAGGGCAGTGTGCTTCCTGGATTTGAAGAAAAGAAAGGAATGACAACTTAAACAAATTTAATCAGAATCTTTAAATGTCCTGTATGTGTGCCCCCTGGAAAGGGTATGTAACTTCATAGGCACCTATCACTTCTGGCAGATATGCGTGTTGTGAATACAGGTGTGAATAATGTCCTGGCTCTTTGCAGATGAGCGCTCTGGACTGGACTTCTGGAATGTTTCTGAATCTGGAAACAGACCAAGAGGGAAAAGGAACCTGGCATTAAGCTAGCACTTAAATATGTATGGTGGGGACAGTATTTTAGGAAATATTTCCTATTGTATTCTTTTCTTCTGAGTCATTAGCTCTTTTCCCCTGAAACCCTTCTGAGTTGAGGCTTATTTCCCTCCAGGAGAAAAAGGGCAGACACAGGCCAGGGGAGGGAACATATTTAAAAATAAGGAAAGCAGGAAACAAGGGAAAGCATCTTCTGATGGGGTGCAAAAAGTGGGGAGCAAATATCAAGGTAAGTATCTTCCACACCTCCTCACACCTTGAGACTGATCTTTGGGGGGTGTTGGGGTGGGGGTCCACAAGCCACTGCTCCCCACCCTGGCTGGAAGGGTCTGCAGGGGTGCTGAGGGAGCATCTGTGTTGTAAAGCCAGATTTTCAAATGTCCTGTGGTGGATACAAAGTGTTTCTAGGTGGTGCATGACAGGGCATTATATAATGTTCAGTCCTGAAGTGAAAAATGGGTTCCCTTTAGTTTTTTCTTCCAATTCTTCCCATTGTCAAGGAGAAAATCTTAATCAGAAGTTATTATGTCTTTACTACTCTTATTTACTACTTTACTACTATTATAGCCTTGGGCCCGGGAAGAATCTGTTCTATTCATTGGTTTCCTCATGCGGGGGGAGAGATGAGAATAATTCCCATAATTGGTGTTAAATAGGCAGGTAGGAAAGCATAGACTAGGAATGATAAATAAAGTGAACTCGGATTTCAAAACAGGGAAGTAAATTCGGTCATAAAGAAAGGGACATGTTTCACTGTAAGCATGTGTCAATGGAATTCCTCCAAGAAATCTGTGATAGGAAGGAAGGGTAGATAGCACCGGAGATTTTCATGCACCGAGCTTGCCCAACTCCTCAAAGCCGGAGGAGAAGAGAATGACATGGAGCGGTCTGGGTGATTGCTAAGGATGACTAAGTGGGGGGGACACTGGGGAGGCCTGATGCCTGATGGCTTCCCAGAGGAAGGACCTGAGTGAGGATTTCCTCATAAGACCACAACTGTGTTTCAGAAACAAGGTGCAGTGGTGCTGGTAGGTACCGTGTGAGTTGCTTGGCTTCTTTTCCCTCGTTCCCTCCACCCTGCGGCTGGAGACATCTGGTCCCTACCAACAAATTTTCCCCTTCTCATATAGTGTACTTTTCTGTCCTTGGGAGAAATTAAGAAGCTTTATTTAAAAAGTCAGGGTTGCCTCAACCTTGCTGTGTATTTCACTGCTAACCTCATTGTGAAATCTACACAGCTTCCGGCTGAGCATCTCTTCTCGGTAATTGGGTTGCAGCTGTGCTTTTTCTACCCCGCCCATCCCCTTATCATCTCAGAGCCCCTTGCTTCCCCTGAGACTGGAGGCCTGCCTTGCTTTTGCCAGTTTCTAAGAACTGAGCTTCCGTCTCCGAATGACCTGGGCTGGGCCCGACGAGGGGCTGTCAGGACTTAGTGACATTAACTGGCAGGTTCCAGCTAGCTCTCCGCATGTGGCCAGATATGGTACAGCTAAAATAGAATACTGTGGTGAATGAATATACTATAAAGCCGGGTACAAATATTAGTTGCCATTGTAGCTAATTTTATCACTCCTGAGGGTGGCAGTTTGTACTGTGGGGCTGGAGGAGCCTTTAGAATTACCACACACCTCCAGAGCTTGAGTAAGGTTGGCCTGCATGGAGCATGGCAGCTCACAGTCTAGCAGCCAATGAGGTGATGATGGAACAAGGGATTCCCCATTGGCAACGTCCAGGAACAGGGCCCAGCACCTGCTGGGTGAGAGTAGAGAAAGAGTGGCTTTGGAAGTGGGGCAGCTCCTGGTGAATGGCACCTTGGAGGTGTGGGTCCGAGGAGGGCGTCTTCCAGCCTACGTGTATTGAGAGTAGTGCTGGGACCCTTAGCCAAGACAGCCTTATAAGTTGGAGATGGTGCTGGGGAGAGAGGAGCCCACACTTTCGGTAGCAGAAGGGGGAAAACAGCTGGTGGAAATTGAGCCCTGTATCTGAGGAGTATGTTTGGTCGCAACAACATCTGCCTCACATCTGCATCGTATTTCGCCTGGATGATTATAATTGTCTGCAAGTGGTCTTTCCACTTAACCTTTCACAGGCAAGCCTGATTCTTGTAATTAAGTTTTGCTCTTTGGGTGACGTGATTATGCAATGTGTCGTTCTGGTGATAGTGTCAGGTTTACCAGTTTCTTCTTCTATTGTCCGTGGGGTAAAGCAACATTTTCAGGTGTGGGGCACATAGCTCTTGGGACACATAAAATACTTCTAGGTGCTGCATGACAGGTCACTATATAATGTTCAATCATGAGGTGAAAAATGGGTTCCCTTTAATTTTTCTTCTAATTCCTTCACCATCAAGGAGAAAATCTTAGAGGTTAGTATGTCTTTATGCTCCTAGAACATTTACTAGTCTACATTTTAAATAAAGAATAAGCCTTAAGCTCAGGGCTGAGTGCAAGCAATAGTACCTAGTTTTGCTGTTTTGTTTTCATTGTACAGTGGGGTTTTTTTTCCTTCTTTTTAAAAAAATTTTAATTCTAGTATAATTAACATATAGTTGTATTAATTTCAGCTGTATAATATAGTGATCAACTGTTCATACTGACTCAGTGCTCCTTATGGTCATTGTACAGTGTTTGCTTTATTGTTATCTTCCAGTTGTGGCAAATTCCACTGAAATCATACAAAATTCCTTTTCATAGAAATAAATTCAGGTAAGTTCAAAAGATGGTTGAGTTAAAGAAAAAAAATCATGACCATAGGTGATATGTGGATATGGGAAAAATTGTGGACGTGGAATTGGAGAAACTGAAGTATACATGAATAGATTGAAGAAGGGGATGATCCCAGTGATAACCAGATGCAATCAGCAGGTGGACAGAAGCTCGGTCAGCTGCTGCTGACACCATGCTTGATGTCCAGAGTCAGGGGGCGGTGGCAGAAGAAGCTGGGCAGCGGGTAGGGGCCAGATCACCCAGGGCCTTGTGTGTCTCCTAAGATGCTTGGACTTGTCTTCTGGGTCCTGGGGAGCCATTGCAGACTTTCAGACGGGAGAGTGCAATCATCAGGGAAGAGACTAAAAAGAAACAGAAACATGGAGCGAGAGCAGGGGGTCTCCAGAATGAGGCTGTGACCGATAGCCTCAAGTGAGGCAGTAAGGTAGAGGGGGAATGGCCATCCACTGCGCTTGGCGTTGGGCACCTATGACTCAAGCATGTGTATTGTAGATTGCACGCGGTTGTGGGTGAGGGCACTGAGAATAGGCCAAATTCCAGAATGCTAAGGGATGAAGGAGAAGTAGAAACAAAAATCAGTGGCCTGCTCTTCTGGAATACTTGGATGGAAAGGGGAAGAGTTGGGAGAGTATATAAAGTGGGCTTGTGTGTTTATTTGCTTTATTTTGCATAAAGAGATCCACTTTTTTTTACTAGCTAAAGTTATAGGAAAGGTATAGGAGAGGTGGGATTTGAGTGACTCAGGAATGACTCAGGCCCTTCACCACGAACATGGGATGCTAAGTCTGCCTTCTGCTAGAGAACAGGGATCTCTCTAACTTACTAACAGAGTGAATGCTAACTTCATGAATTTTTCTCTCATAATTTTGGAGGCCAGGAGCCTGACAGCAAAGTGTTGGCAAGGTTGATTCCTTTTGGGGAAGATGAGGGCCCATCTGCTCCATCCTCTCTCTGGGCTTCTGTTTACTGCCTGCACGAGCGGGATTCCTCTCTGCCGACACCCTTAGGTGACTGTCCCCTCGTGTGTCCCTCCTTCTCTGTCGCTTGTAAAGACACCCACCATTGGTTTTAGGGGCCACCCTATTCCCGGATGATCTCATCGTGAGATCCTTAACCTTAATGATACCTACCAAGGCCCTTATTCCAAATAAGGTCACATTCTGAGGTTCTGGGTGGACACGTATTTATTTTTTTGGGGGGGAGGGACACAGTTCAGCCCACTACACTTATTAAATTAAGAATTAATTTCACCATTTATGGAAGGTTGATATAAAAGATATTAATTTGAACTACATTCCTATGCCTTAAAAAATTCAGGCCATAAAATTCATCCTTTTAAAGTGTACAGTTCACCGGCTTTTTTTCTTAAGAGTTTATTTATTTACTTATTTGAGAG